CCTATAGATAATAGCTAGGGCTATACCTAAGGTTTATATAGTAAATTAGCTATATACCCTTAGTATTAGTCCTACCCTTTATTTATAATAATATTATTATTAAGATTATACTAGGGACCTAGCTAAAGGTATCTAGAACTTCGATATTAAATAGGAGGGAAAAACTAAAGTACCTAGGGGAAAACCCTCCCCTCTTTTAGTATAGGTCTGCCTTAAATAAGGTCTTAGTAGTAGTATATAGGAAATTTACGCTAGCTACCGCGGGCTTCTCCCGCGCGTTTATATTTCGGCGTAGGCCCTCTTAGGCTATAGCCGCTTCTATCCTTAGCGGCCGCGGCCTAGGCTCGCTACTTAGGCCTAGGGTTATAAGTAGTAGTCTCTCTTTAAGGGCTAACTCGCGGGCGCCTTTATTCCCTATAGCTCCTACGTCGCTACCGTATAGCCGTAGCTACGTCGGCCTATCGGTCTATTAGTTAGTAGGGCAGGTAATATCCGGTTACCGGGCCGGGCGCTAGTATAGGTCGCACTTAGGTAGGGCCGGCTAATCGAAATTTAGTCGGCTAGCTCTATTAATTAAAAATCGGTTCCCGTCCGACTACGCGACTTCCTAATTAAGGGCGTAGCGGCCTATATTTACCGTCTATCGCGTAGTTATTAATTACGCACGCCCGGCTTATATATATATATACTTACCCTCCCCCCTTAGTTTTATTCTTACCTCCTCCTACCTCTCTATTTATTATCTCTCTTATAAGCTCCGTTTATACCTACCTTATTTCTATATCCCTAGATCTCTTTAGTACTATACCTACCGCTCGCTGTTACTTTATAATATCTAACTAAGAAGCTAGCTTAAGTAGCGGCGGCTTGCTTCTTCTTAAGCCCCTTCCTTATAAGAAGGTCGCTGCTATAGCGGGTTTAGAGCGCTCTATCTTATATTTTGCGTATATCGGGCGCCTTATTAGCGAGCTTACTTATAAGTCCTTCGCTAGCTATTAAAACTAGTCTTATAAGTATCGGTCTTAGTTTTATCTTAAGTTAGTCTTACTTTTAGTACTTTCGCTAACTTTACTAGCTATAAAGGCTAAAGCGTATATTGCTTATACTAACTCTAACTAGTCCTATTACTAAGTAGGTATCCTTATCCCGCTATAGTATAGTCTAAGTTCAGTGCTAATTTATATTTAGATTACCTTTAAAAGTAAGGAGGCCGCGCGCGCCTTTTACTAAGCTTAGTTTAAGGTAGATAGTCCTTCTTATATTTAAGGTTTAGTATAGGAACGCCTTTACCGCGTTACTCTAGAAACTTATATTTACGCTAGTTAGAAGGCCCCCGCCGCTAAGGTTAAGGGCGCGTTAAGTAAGTCTACCCTTAGTATAGCTATAGTTATTAAGAATATTAAGATACTTACTTTAGCTTTTACCTATTTTATAAATAATACCCGCTATATATATAAGTTCTTAAATAAGTACTTAAGTAAGTTTAGCGATACTATTAAAACCCTAGCCTAGGTTAGGCCTAAGTCGCTCTTAGTTACTTAAAAGACTCTTATAGCGGTTAATAATCTCGCTAACTATTTCTATCTTATCGCTAGTAACGACTATAATAGTAAGAATAATAGCGATAATTATACTAAGCTTAGTCTAGCCCTAGCCTCTTTTAGTAAAGGGAAGGGGAAGGGTAATAGTAAGGTAACTATCGCGTTTAAGGCTCTATCTAAGGTTAAGGCTAAGGAGTCCGCCGCTATCTCTATACCTATAGTTATCTTAAAGTTAGTTTAGGATCCTACTATATCCCCCTCTATTAGCTCTAATACTAAACTATAGCCTAGTAGTTCTCTTATTGCTAAGCCCGCCTTTATTTATAATAAAAGGAACCTTTTAAAATATAAAGCGCTACTAGCTTAAGAGATTTCTATTATCTTATAAGATACTAAGCTTACTATAGCGTTCTTTTATATTTAAAATATTTATAACGATTATAAAAAGCTTTATTTTATAGTTCTTTATAGTAAGATAGCTATATAAATATTTATTAAGTATCTTTAAGTAAGAAATCTTCCTTATAATATTAAATTTAACTTATATAATAAAAATAAGATCTAAGGTATACTTTAGACTTACCTATAGTATTAAAAGATATAAAAACGTTTTCCTAAAGTTCTTAGTTTCGATAATATATATAAAACTAACCGCTTTAAGCTCTTTCTTCCTTAAGTTATTAAAGTTATTAACTAAAAGTCTTTAATAAACTTTACCTTTAGCCTTATTAATATAAAGAAAGAAGAAAGATATTAATAGCTTTATAAATCCCTTAATAATCTTAATATAAAGATAGGAGTAATAAAGCTTATTATAGCTATTATTAATAAGGAAGCTATACTAAAAAAAACCCTTATTAGGGTTTTCTCTTTTATATAGTAATAGCTATATATATTCTATATTAATAGTAGTATTCGGGCTTAAATCTAGTTACGCTAAAGAGACTTAGTAGATCCTAATAGTTATAAAAACCCTATTAATATAGAGATCCTTTTAGAGGTAAAAGCTATCCTTACTTAAGAAGCCGCTAAATATAAAGCCGCTAAATAAAGAGATACCGCTATAGCTATATTAAACCTTAACTTAAATAAAGAAGTTATATATAGCTATAAGGGTATACTTCTTACTTAAAAACGTATTATTTATAGAGAAAATAAAGTAAATTTCTTTAAGGTATAAAAGTAGCTTAATAAGATCTTTAGTTAATACTAAAGCTATATTATAACCTATATTATTAATAAGTATATACTATAGTAGGAGTAATAAGTATAATACTATATTAGCTAATATTATAACTTTAAGTAATAGGTAAATTACTTAGTTAAGACTACTTATAAAGATATAAAGTTATATTTACTTATAAGTATATTTAGTTTCTTATACTTTTATAATACTTTTATTTAAATAATTAAGAAAAAGGAGATAATATATATATAAATAGCTACTTAGTAAAGGATATAATAAAAGCGTTTTTTCCTTAACTAGTTATCTTAGCTTAAGGGCCTAAACGTTATAGTAATATACTAAGCGGTTAATCTTTTTACTATATAGTATAAGCTTACTAAGGCCGCGATAACTTTACTAATATAGGAGCTACAGCCGTTATAGCCTTATAGTAGGTAATTTATAAGCTAGTTTAGGTTATATTATACTTATACGATCCTTTAACGCTTTTAAGCTAAGTTAAAGCTTAAAAAGTATAATATTTTAGTATAATAGTAGCTTAAGAAGCTATTAATAAAGCCCCCTTAATAATAGTTTTTGTATTAATTACTATTTCTAGGACCTTAGTAAGCTACTATTATAAATCCGCGATCTTAATAATATTATAGTTATATATAGCTAGCCTTATAATAATAAGCTACTTATACTAGATTCTATTATAAGAATAGTATTATAACTAGCTATAGTAGTAGTAGTAGTAGTAGTAATAGTAGTAGTAGTAGTAGCGACGATAGTAATAGTATTATAATAGCTACCTAATTTAAGTTAGGCTAACTTAAAGCGGCTTAACGTAATATTATATTAAATACTACTTAGCTAAAATAAGGCTACCCCTTAATAGGAGTAATATTAGTACTTATTATATCTCCTACTAGTCTCGTAATATATAAGCATTTAAAGGCGCCGGGGGCATAACTAAATTAACGAACTTAGCTATAGCCTGCAATCTCTTATAGCGTTATAATAAGGATCGACCGCCTAAGGAAATATAAGGGGAAGGGGATTAAGAGGAAGACGCGGTAGGAAGGGCGCGCCGCTAGCTTTATTAGGGCAGCCGGCTTCGTTAGGCGTTTAAGGGATCGTTAAGTAGGATATAATTAAGGCGGCGCCGCTGCCGCCGCCTATATAGCCGTAAAGGCTAAAGAGGAGCTAGATTAATTAACGGGCTAATTATTATAACTTCGAGCTTAAGGCCCTAAATTACTTTATTTAAGCGAATTAAGAGGCATACGTTATATAGCCTTTTATTACCTCTTATATATATATATATATATAGGCGGGCGGGGGCGTAGGCGTTTAAGCGGTACCGCTACCTACTATAGTAAACCTAGGCTATAACGATTAGGGTATATTATAATTATCGGGCTATAACGATAAGATAAGCGATAAATCTATTTAATTAGTTAGTAAAGAGCTTATCTCTAGATAATAACGATATTATTTAGAACTTACTAATAAAGCTATTTATTATACTAAAGTATTATTAAAGGTATATACCTAGTAGTAATTTTTATCCCTACCTTAAATATCCTCTTTTTCTTTCTCTTTCTTTTTTTATTATAAGAATAATATTACTATACTATAATAGCTACGATAGTATATACTAAAGGATATATATAATAGGATATCTCTTCCTAAGCTTTAAACGTAACTATATATTATTTTCTTTATTTATAGTATCTATAAATAAGTAATTATAACTAGTAAGAAAGTTTTATTTAAAGCACGTTATTATATTACTACGTAGATAGCGCGCTACTTATATAATTAATATATATTTATATACCTTTATATAGTAATTTACCTAGTAAGGTATATACCTTAATATAACGAATCTCTTACTATAATAATAGAAATACTATATAGAAAAGTACCGTTATAGCCTAGGTTTACTATATACGGGCGCGGTATAAATAGGCGGGGCGGGCTAGTGTTAGTATATATCTTAAAATAGGGCCTTTATACGAATAGCGATATATTTCTATATATATAGTAATACTCTTAATAAAAATCCCTAAATAATAGAGGAAGGCGATGATACGCGCTTTGCATCGGGATCTTCTATATATATAAGTTCGACTCCGCACCGAATGGCAGTTTCTTGATCTCTTTACATGTTATGACTTATTAAGACGAGTTCCCTCTTCTTCTGACTTATCTCTACCTTTAAACAGAACCAACATATGTATATGGCCCCAAGTGCCTACAATATGCAATGTCATTCTATCTGGGTCATGGGCACCCTCGGTCGGGGTTTTTGCTCCCTTGTTCTTCTGTCCTTGGTCGCCAATTCCCGTGGTCGGGGTCTCGCCGAACCAGCTGCGTTAACACCGAGCATCCAGGGGCACGAAAACATTGAAGCCAACTTGGTCAAAACAATCTCCGAGGCTCAGAAAGACACCAAGAAGTGGACTCTCAAGGCTGGACAGGTCGTAACCCTCGAGAAGGCTCAAAATGTGAAAAGGGAGGCTCAGAAAGCAGTTGACAAGGCTAGCGAAGCCATGAAAGAACTAGCAAGATTAAGCGCCAACGGGTCCATCCAAGATCCGCAGTTATTTGACGAAGGACGGTTCAGATATGATAAAGTATTTGTCAACAGGATTGGTGCAGTTATGGTCAGCTACTCGACCTTGATCAAGGCCTATGGAAAAGACATAGAGCAGGATAAGCGGCAACTCGACGACCTCCACAATACTATTGACGGTCCGACGGCATATCCTGATGCTATAAAATCAGCCGTTGCCAAACTCGGAATACAAGTTGTATCCGCGCTCGAATTCGTGACGACCATGCAGCAATTGGTCACAGAAGAGCCCGATTTATACTGGCGCGGCGGGATGGAGACTGAGCAAGAAACGAAGAACCGAAGCCAGAATGTCTTAGCGGAGGGAGTGAGAGTAGTGCAGCTCGTATACAGCGATACGAATCAGCAGATGAATACCCTTTTGAATGGCATGGTCGAAATCTGGATCCTCCTACATCAAATGGTATCAAAAAGGCCCGACGATCAAGGAGAGCCGGACGCAGCCAAGGAGACAGAATTGCAGGCCGTGGATAACGAAGTCAGCCTCCTAGCTGCGACGAGAGACGCGCTATGGGAGCTGACGCCTGTAGCTCCCATGAAAGAAGTCCAGGACAAGATTTCGAGGGGTGATACTGTTGATTCATGGGGATGGTTAGGGGTGGTCACTGAACTTGGTTGGGGAGTCTTCTCGGGGTTGGCTGGGATTACGGTTTCTGTGACGGGGTCCGGCCTGGGTGCTCCGGCCGGGTCGGCCTCTGGGCTGGGCGTCTCTGCAGCCGAGGTATTGAAAGCTGGACGAACGGGATCCAAAGTGGCTGAGCTAACGAGGAAGATTCGCCGGGTCATTGAGAAACAAAACAAAATATGTGGGAAACTCGACACCTTGACGGGTATCGAGCAGCTCGCCACGGATATCGAAGCTATAATGAACCGGATCACGATGGGCTTGAAGGATTCAAATAGACCTCAGGGCGTCCCAGGGGCTGGTGGTGCCTCTGACCAAGGAGAGCATGATGGTGGCACCTACAAGCAAGGAGCAAAGGCCAACGGTTTCCGCGAGCAAGGAGCGACTGCCGGCGGCTCCCCTGAGCAAGGATCAAAGATCAACAGTTCTGTAACGGGCAAGCCGCTTTAACGGCGGCTGCGCCGCCTAGCTTCTAGAACCTTCCATTGGCTCGAAGCTATAAAATGCCGTTATGCTCTTATGTAGTAGATTCTCTTTCTTTCTTTCTTTCTTTTCTATCTTGATAGTAAACAGCATAGGGACTAGTTAGTTGTATCAACTCACTAGAGGCCTTTCACATACTATCAAGATCACCGAAGACACTGAAGACACTGAAGACACCAAAGTAACCGAGTCCCATCGGAGCCATTAGCATTCAGCGAAGTCGCGATGGCCGAAGATAACAACAACATGCAGCCGGACGTCCTCAGCGCCCTGGTTGCCGAGATACGAAGTCTGAGAGAAGAGAATTCCCGAAGAAATACCCTGTTTGAAGAACGTTTTATTGCCCTGGAACTCCAACAACACCAGCAAGCCCGTTCGTCTGAACTCCTAGAGCCAATGCCATCTGTCACCCCGGCTGTCCCCATCGAGGACACCCATGTGGGCGCCAATCACAACACTCCCAACCAAGCGCCCCAAATTACGAGACATCCCTAAATTCGGCGGCGACAAGGCCCAGTGGCGAAGCTGGAAACTAGAAACCGAAGGAAAGCTACGAGTCGATAAAGAAGCCCTTGGAGATGCAGAAGGCCACTTTATGTACATCTTCATGAGCCTAGAAGGCAAGGCTAAAGACAACGTGACCACATTTGTGGAGATGCAAACCGAGAAGAGAACGTTCAATGTTGCTGAACTACTCAACCGTCTCGAATTGCTGTACGGGGAGAGGGATCGCAAGCAGAGAGCTACACGCAATCTGCATTCGATTAAGCAAGGAGAGAATGAACCATTCACGTCCTTTTACCCCGCTTTGAGAGGAGATCGCCAATGCCAACGCCGAGTATTGGCCAGACGACAGCAAGATTTCCTACCTCCAGGAGGCACTAAACGACAAAATGAAAGCAGCCCTCATAGGCTCTGACCCCTCTGCCATCAGCAGCTATGTTGGGCTGGCGAGGAGGTGCGATTCGCTGAGCAGCCAGATGGAACTGTTGGGTCAGTGGAAAAGGCCCGAGGCAACACAAAGAGTTCGGACAACTATGACAACTACCAGAACCATGGAGGCCAGTCTGCCCAGAAACAGTCTGCCCAGAAAACCGAAGTTAGACGAGAGGATATGATGGAATGGGAGCCAACTCTACAAGCATCCGCGAAAGTGAACGCTGCGCGCACCCGCAGTGATAAGAACACATATGGCTACCAATCCAAGCGACCAGAAGACCAAGCGCTGTTGGGCAAGCGTGCCCAGTGGGTCGACCAGGCCGAGATGGACGCCCGTTACCGTGAAGGGCGTTGCCTCCGTTGTGGAAGAGACAACTGCAGAATCGAGCGCTGTCCATTGGCTGCGCCTATCCGACCCGCAAACACGACCCGACGCACTCAGGTCAATGCCGTGACCCCTTCACGACCAGCGGTCACTAAAGCCGAGATCGCCGAAGACGATGCTTCTTCTCATAGCGATGAAGATTCAGACTAGGGACACGCGGCGGCTGTGAGAGAATGGGATGTGAGCGGAAAAGCAAAAATGGACGGAGAACCGTTCATAGCAGACGTCAGGGTGAACGGCACAGACTTTGTGCCATCTCTTGTCGACTATGGCTGCCTCTGCTACGGCGCGGTCAGCAAGCGCACATTTCACTCTCTCCAGTTGCCACATATACGCGTCCAGCCGCGCATCTTGGAGAATGCAGCGGGAGACGGCAAGGAGGTCAAAATCGACAAGATCACGTATGTGTCGATCGACCTCGATGGACATCAGCAGCATCGTGTTTTCATGTACGTCATCGACGATCTGAACTGGGATATGATCCTGGGTAAACGATGGATGGAAGACCAGGATGTTCACATCCATGCGAAGGAAGGATATCTCGAGATCGGGTCCAATGGAGTCCAAGTACGAGACCGACGACGTTACCAGCCTCCTCAGCTAGACGTCTCTAATGTCATGGCCGCAACCTTTTTAGCAGAAGCACGCCGTGACAAACGCAAAGGCGGCATTGGAGTTCACTCGGTCACAATGGCGGATATTGACAAGGCCCTAAGACCGAAACCGAAGACTGACGTAATGGAGAAGCTGCCACCACAGTACCACAAGTGGTCTCGAGCTTTCTCTCAGCAACTGGCCGACCAGCTGCCCCCTCATCGGCCAGGTGTGGACCTGAAGATCGAAGTGCTGAAAGACGAGCATGGCCGAGAGAGCCCTACCCTGGGGACCGCTTTACAGCATGTCCCGCGAGGAGCTATTGGTGCTACGAAAGACCCTCACAGAACTACTCGACAAGGGATTTATTAGAGTCAGCAGCTCGCCAGCCGCAGCACCAGTCCTTATGGTGAAGAAGCCCGGCGGAGGCATCCGCTTCTGCGTGGATTACAGAGGTTTGAATCACATAACGAAGAGGGACCGCTATCCCTTGCCTTTACTGAGCGAGACCTTGCGAACGATAGCCAAGGCAAGGTGGTTCACCAAGGTAGATGTTATAGCAGCGTTCCATAAGATCAGGGTCGCCCCTGGCGACGAAGAAAAGACAGCCTTCAGAACGCGCTATGGATCCTTCGAATGGCTGGTAGTTCCATTCGGCCTGACAGGCGCACCAGCAGCCTTTCAGCGGTATATTAACAGCGTGCTCCAGGATTACCTCGATGATTTTGTGTCAGCGTATATCGACGATGTCCTGATCTTCTCCTCTGGAAGCCTGCAAGACCACCGCGACAAAGTCGGCAAGGTCCTCCAACGACTGATGGACGCTGGGCTGCAACTGGACATCAACAAGAGCGAATTCGAAGTCAAGGCTGTGAAATACCTTGGGTTCATCATCGAGGCGGAGTGTGGGATCCGAGTCGACCCAGAGAAGGTTGAGGCTGTGAAGGGATGGGCAACCCGACGAATATTAAATCCGTGAGGAGTTTTATCGGATTCGCGAACTTCTACAGGGTGTTTATGCCAGACTTCTCGGTGATAGCGGAGCCGCTAACGCGGCTAACGAAGAAGGACGTGCCATTCCGTTGGGATGGATTGTGCGAAGAAGCCTTCGAGAAGCTCAAGAACCTGTTGATCACGGCCCCGATCCTTGCACACTTCCATCCAGAAAGGGAGACTATCGTGGAAGCGGACGCTTCAGGATTCGCGTCGGGAGGCGTGCTCCTGCAGAGAGATGATAAGGATGGACTGGTACGACCTGTCGCATACTTCTCGAAGAAACATTCGGCAGCCGAAGCGAACTACGCTATCCATGACAAGGAGCTACTCGCCATTCTCAGATGTTTGGAGCAGTGGGAACCAGAGCTACGGGCAGTAGAGCACTTCAAGATCCTAACGGACCACAAGAACCTGAGATACTTCTACTCGGAAAGGAGGTTGACAGAGAGACAAGTGCGGTGGTCGGAGTTCCTGTCCAAGTTCCAATTCAAGCTCGAATGGAGGCCGGGCCGCAAGGGCGGATTGCCTGACGCGCTCTCGACGGGACCAGGATATGCCGGCAAACTACTCCGATGAACGACTAAAGGGACGCATTATGAGGCTATTCCAAGACGACCACCTTAGAAGGGTCCCAATATCGACATTGTCTACCAACACCGATGGTGCCCAGGAAATCAACTTCGGAAAAGAGATCAGGATATTTGAAGATGAGGAGTTACAGCAGCTGTGGCACGCCGCACGCCAAGAAGACAAGCTCTATCAAGAACTCACGAAGCTGGTAGCAGATGGAGCGAAGAGTTTGCCAACAGGATTACAGAAGGAGAAGGTTGTCAGCATTTCAGAATGCTCGTTAGACAATAGGGGCCTGCTGTGCTTTAGAGAACGCGTCTGGATACCCGGTTCGGAGCCGCTACGTACGAAGATCATCCAGGAAACTCACGACTCTCATATCACCGGACATCCTGGAAGGGACCTCACGTACTCGACTCTGTCGAGACGCTTCTTCTGGCCGGGTGCCGCTAGCGATGTACGTCGGTTTGTGCGCAACTGCGAGGTTTGCGGACGAAACACCATCTGGAGGATACAAAGAAAGGACTCCTAAAGCCGCTCCCTATTCCGCAACGCATATGGAGCGAAATTACCATTGACTTTATTACTGACCTCCCACCGTCGGGGAAAGATGGCGCGACGAACTGCATGGTGGTCACGGACCGACTCACCAAAGGCGTCGAACTCGAAGGATTACACGATATTTCTTCAGAAGCGGTTGCAAGAAGACTCTTCGAACGACACTACCCTGTCCATGGCATCCCAACGGCTATTACCAGTGATCGGGGTCCCCAGTTTGTCAGTGGTATGTGGAAACACTTCTGTCAGCTGCTAGGGATCGAGCAGCGGTTGTCAACGGCGTACCATCCACAAACCGACGGTGCAACAGAACGAATGAACCAAGAGGTAGAGAGGATTCTTCGGATATGGACAAACTATCTGCAGGAGAACTGGTTGGACTTGCTTCCAGTCGCGATGGCGACAATTAACGAGCGGAAGCAACCTCCACCGGACTGAGTCCGTTCTTCTTCATGCACGGCTACCACAATGAGCCAATCCAGTTAGTTGAGCATCGAAGCACGGAAGACACAACACAGGAAGAAGCTGCAGCGGAGGATTTTATTCAGAGACTACAGGATGCCACGGAGTTTGCGCAAGCAGCGATAGCTATGGCCCAGGAAATACAGCAAGCGCAAGCCAACAAGCACAGGACAGCCGCACCGAGATACAAGCCTGGGGATTGGGTATACCTCAACTTGAGAAATGTCAAAACATCGCGACCCTGCAAGAAGCTCGATTGGTTACATGCCAAATATCAAGTGCTCACCGAAGTCAGCCCACATGCCTATAGGTTGGATGTGCCTGGACGTATCCATCCAGTCTTTCACGTCGATCTACTCCGGCCAGTACCCGGAGACCCATTGCCTTCGCAGAAAATCGATCAAGAGAGTGCCCCACCGGTGCTGGTGGACGGCCAAGAAATGTACCTCGTCGAAAGGATTCTGGATGAAAGAATGGAAGGTACGCATAAGAAGGTGCTCGTAAAATGGCATGATTACTCGCAGCCTACGTGGGAGCCCTTCCCACTATTCGACACACTGATGCATGGAAGCAATGGAAGAAACATAAAAGAGTGTCACCTTCTCAAGTCATCTTGACACAGATTGCCACGATCCCAAGGAAGAGGAAACGTTGGACGGGAGGAGGTAATGTAACGGGCAAGCCGCTTTAACGGCGGCTGCGCCGCCTAGCTTCTAGAACCTTCCATTGGCTCGAAGCTATAAAATGCCGTTATGCTCTTATGTAGTAGATTCTCTTTCTTTCTTTCTTTCTTTTCTATCTTGATAGTAAACAGCATAGGGACTAGTTAGTTGTATCAACTCACTAGAGGCCTTTCACAAGTTCCCCCGAGCAAGGAACAAAGACCAACGGCTTCCCCGAGCAAGGAGCGACTGCCGGCAGCTCCTCCAAGCAGGGAACAAATGCCGGCAGTCCCTCGGAGCCCAATACGAAGAGCCTGCGTGAGATTGTCGAGCTCTTCAAGGCGTTACCTGAAAAGGTTACACTGAGCGACGAAGCCCTGGAAGCTGTGGCCCAGAATATCACCGAGCAGTGGGGGAAAGGCGATGGCATCACAGAAGCCATGAAGGCCGTTGTGTGCGACATGGTCACCGCGGACGGCAAGGGCGGAGCTTGCGACATCGGCGGTGCTGGCACTGCTAACGGTGATGAAACGAAATCTGGTCCACCAGAATCGGAGCCCGGGTTATCGAAACAGGCTCCCGAATCACCGGGACCGAAGTCCGAATTATCCAAGCCACCCAAACCAACGTCCGAATCACCCCAGTCACCGGGGCCGAAGGCCGAATCACCCAAGCCACCGGGACCGAAGTCCAAATCGTCCAAGCCACCCCAACCAATGTCCAAATCACCCAAATCGAAGCCTCAACGGAAAAAGTCAAGCGCCCGGCGGCCTCCCGGCAAAATGCCGCCGGGACTACTCGGTTCTCTGGTTGCGCGCGATGTGCTCAGTAAGCGGAACGTTCAGGGCGAAGACGATTCCTTAAGGTCTCATGGAAAGCCGGTGGACTGGGATGTTGTCTACAGCGTCATCAAGCAAATTGATAGCGAGATTTCCGAGTCAGACGGGGAAACGGCGCCCGTACCCTCGTTATTAGATAGCGATGGGTTTTTGGAGGCACTTTCCGCCGTCTTAGAGGTGAGTCGCAGCCCTCGATCAGATAAATAAAACAGAAGCGGAAGCTTAGACGTAGCTTTAAAATACTCCATTACCCCCTGTATTCTAGATCAGTGGTGTAAGTGGTTGACTCTTAGTAGTAGAGCCTCGCGTAGCGTCAACAGTAAAGCTCGGCAGTAAACTATAGAGCATTGCTATACGGCCAACATCAAATCCCTAGACTTCAGCCTCTCCTAGCCGCGCCAAGGCCCGCCACCCAAGGGAAGCGAACATGAAGTGGTTTGCGTATACCTCCTTTTGGGAGCCAGCACCAGTATCCACGCCTTACCAGCCGCCAAGCGAGAACAGGGGACTTCAACAGTAGTCTCAGTGCCTCCCCGACCGCTTCAAGTTCGGTTTCACGGGCGAGTAGAAGGCGACCTTTTGGAATTACGGACCCCAAGTGACTTTGTCGCCCAGCATTCACTGGTCTTCAACAACAAACCGGCAACTAACGTGATTACACTCAGATTTAGTACGGTGTCGGCGGTGAGAGATCACAGAATCCTCCCTTTGCTTCCGGTGCGCGTAGATCCAATTAAGGAGGGACAATATACCATGGCACCTTTCCACTTCCTGCGCCACTCGGTCAAACTGGGTCACAGTGACCACGTCAGTGCCATCAATACGGGGGCGGAACCCTCAAAGTGGCATTCGATCGAAAAGACAAAAGACCGCGAAGGCATCAGCCTTCAAACATGCTGGCGCGAACCCCGCCTCCTCTAACACAGCACCGGGAAGACGATGCACTACTACAGCGAGACAATGTCCAGGACCGAGGTGTCGCGCTTGCTTGCCTGTCGGTTCCGCGTCCGAGGTGCCTATATCGAGCGTACCCGTCGTCCTCGCGCCCTACCGGCGTTCAGATCAGCCGGAGGAAGGGGGGGGGTATTTCGCTGCTGTCGATAACAGGAACGCGTTTTACCTCATGGTATGTGACCACGCAGACAGCTAGGGATGGCGACTGAACAAGGGAGGTTTCTGGGACTGGATGACACCCAAGAGGTTGAGCTCGAGTTTCCGGGATGGGCCTGAGTTTATTAATTGAAGAAAGGGGCCGGAAGCCAGACTAGGGAGCAGAAGACGGGGGCGAGGGATCCAAGGGACAGTCGACGGACCAGTCGACGGACCAATCAGCCGAGGAGAACGAGCCCAATGACTCTGAAGAATGTGCCGAGTAGCTTAACAGGTGAACCTGTAGGTTTTCGTAGATGCACACATGTAGGTAGGATACATATACTTCTTTGTACGTGGTATAGCCATAGGTAATAAGCTACTCCCAAAAACGACGAATAAAGCACCCAGGTGAATTCTTCATCCCAACTGTCCACATAAAAAGAAAGGCATTGAGTTTCTGAATAGTCGTACTCAAGATGCTCCTAACGCACAAGACTGTGGCCATGCGGCGGTACCGGGATCCGCCCACCGACTGGCCGACGTCTCTCGCCCCCGGTGACGATGCCGCGACTCGTCATGCAAGCTCTTGTCCGCCAAAGAAGGCGCCCCCCTCACCAGACGCCCGGAATCACGGCCCACTTGCGGCCGACCTTTTCGCGGCCAAAGCGCTCGACATACCAGGCCTTTCCCCGGACGGCCCGCGGCAGCATGGAACACACCTCGTTGGTCAGAAACGCCCAGGCCGGCGCGCACGACCAGCCGGCCGCCATGAGGAAACCCGCCCACTCAACCCACTCGCAAAGGTAGTGCGGGAAGAGCATGTATCGGAAGAGCCCGGCCTGCGGGATCTCGTAGTAGTTGGTGGTGGCCCCTCGCCCAGCCTTGTTGTTGTCCTTGCTGCTACAGCCCTGCTGCTGCTCGCGCCGCTGCCGCCGGCGGCGAATCTCGCGCAGCTCCTCGTCGTGGAAGAAGTTTGCCGACAGCCCCGCGTAGAAGACGGCGAGCCCCAGGGCAAACTGCGGCAGGGGCGACTGCGCGGCCCAGGCGTCGGCGGTGACAGGCCCGTAGGCGGCCAGCCAGGCACCTAGGCAGGTTGCGTTGAGGAGCTGGAAGCCGAGGGCCATGGCCCAGACGAGGACGTGGATGGGCGCCATAGACGGCTGCAGCAGGGGGAAGAGGAGCGCGCGGTACGTGTAGTGGATGACCTGGGACGTGTCAGTCATGCTTCTTTCAGCGCGTATGAGCGACAAGGAGAGAGAGAACAACGCACAAAGAGGCCGGCCAGGACTCTGTTCTGCCACGGCAAGTCGTCAATGCCGTGCTGCGCCGGCAGCGTGCGCATGACATACAGCAGCGTCAGGAAGCCCGGCGCCTCCATCGTCATCCAGGCCGCGCGCCCCGGCAGGTTGAGCCGGCTGGGCGTCGACGTCTTGCCCATGCCGTACCAGCCAATCACCCACTGCAGCGACCCAATCTGCGCGCCCCTCTGTCGTCAGCACACGGCTCATCAGAGCGTCTTGCCAAGGGCCGAGGCCGTACAGCGGGATAGGCAAACTGCCAGAGCTTCAGGATGAGCCCGTAGTGCGCCCGCGTCGGGGGCAGCCATCCGTCGAGGAGGCTCATGATGAGTTGCCTTTGCTCTCCTCTGCACGCGTCTTGGCAGTATGCAATGCCGTCGCTGCGCTGCGTGGGGCTGTAGTTGCAGACTCGCGTCGCGTGCAAAGTCGACGATGTCGTCAGTCGTTTATGTGGGGCAGATACAACCATTGATGACTAGGCTACCAAGGTCCGTCTTTCAATCCATGGCTGGCAAACAAACACACAACCTCTGGTCCTTTTCAAGTCAAATCAGTCGCACCAGAGGTTATCCTGCGCCATTCATCGACAAAGAAGTGGCTAAACAACAAGGAATAGAGAGATATATGTATATGTATGTCCCGTGCACGCAATCAATCCCGTGCAGCCTGCAGTCTCCCAAACGCCATCCCTCGCTGCTGCTGCTGCAAGTCATCAAGGCCGTGTATATTTATGTGTGTGTTTTGATGCCAACTCAAAGCCCATTCCAGCCCAAATACAGGGAATGGAAGCATGGGGGCAAGGCCACCTCCCAAGCAAACACAAGGGAGGCTCGCCATCGAGTCTCACCACGTCCCAAGTGCTCTCACATCACCACACACTCTCGCTCTCTCCCGTGCCCGCCCCCGCTCATGGGACCCAGCGCCACCCCAGGACTCACAGGCCGCCCCCTTGCAGACGGGCCTGCCGGCCGCTGTGGCCTAGGCGGCCCCTGACCCCTGGCGCCGCTGCTCGTCCTCGGCGCCGCCTGGTTGCTTCCCGGGTGACTGGGATGACCCGCCGGCGGCACAAACGCCGGGTCCTGCGCCGCTTGTTCGTAAGACGGCGGCGCGTCCCTCCCCCCGCTCTCTGCCCGCCGGTTCACGCCCGGCCTGCGAGGGGGCACCAGTGGGCGTACCTGCTGCGGCTGCCGGCTTGGCTCGCTCGGCTGCCGCGTGAGCGGGCTCCCCGCCATGCCGATGCCGAGCCCGATGCCGTTGGAGCTGCCCGGTTCCGGCCCAGCGCTCCCGCTCGACGTGGCTCTCCTAGAGTTCCTGACCACTGGCGTTGGTCGTTGTGCTTGCTGCTCAATGTACTGTTCCGAGAGTATGCTCTCTCGTCGCCGGCGGGCCTGCTCTTCGCGGTGTCTATGTTCCTCTTCCTCTTGCAGTTGCAGCGCCAGCGCCAGGTCGCGGTCCTCCTGCTCGTGCTTCGGACTCGTTGGCCCCTGTTCCTCCTGCTCTCGCCCCTTGCCACGCTTGCATTGCATCGCCGTCCACTCGCCACCGCCCGACGAGGTCCCGCCACCGCCCGCACTGCCTGCAGGCGCCGCGCCCACGACCCGAAAGTCTCCTGACAGGTACTCGGTCCGCTCTCCGTTGACATCGACGAGGCTCTCCCACACCACCTCCTCGTGGCTCCCGTACCCGGCGTCTGTCACCAGGCTAAGCAGCTTCGTCGCCCGCGGGTGACAGTACAAGGTGCTAAAGTGATCGTTTCTGAAAAGTATGGCAAAGGTCCCGGGGCGCATGGCCTTGGCAATGACCCCGATGCCCCACGGCGTGAGCTGCGTCGCCGATTCTTCCAAAAACATCTTAATTGTCATGATATCCTGGTAAAGCTGTGCCTCCGTCTCGGACAGTTCGCCATTGGGGTTCGACAACTTGCCCTCGAGCTCCTCTTCGTGAAACAGCAGGTTTTGTACCTCTTCATACGAGGCCCCCCGCCGTTCAAGTGCCTCGTACGCCGGGTCGGACCGAGACGGAAGCCACCCGTGAATCAGAGGAATGGAGAAGGTGGCGTACAGGCTCATCTCCATGGTGTTTTCAAAGGTCCCCGGAATAAAGTCGCCGCGTTCGGCTGCATCAAGATGCGTCAGCGATGTGCGCTTGTAAGCCGTCATCATCTCCGGGGTAGGCACGAAGCGTGGATTGACGTTCATGCCGGTGTGGAGGCTCTGAAGAAAGGAATAGAGATCAGAAACGTCGGGCAGGGCGTCCTCCGAGTTTGTGCGCCGCGGTGACATAAGCTCGTCGAATACGGCGTCGAGCAGCAGATTGAGGCTGACTTGCTCTCGCGACCGGAGAACCTGCACCAGGGCCGTATCGGGCATGTCGGCCGGCGTTGTTAACGTTAGGGCGTTGACCAGCGCCACCAGCGGACACGGGCCATTTTTGTTTTGTATCAGGATCGGAGATGTGCGTGGGTTGCTCATCGATGTGTCGTCGTGCCAGCGGATGTTCTTGACCTGGTACGTCTCGGATTTGGCATCAATCGGCCGTCTGGAGGGCACCCATTTCGGTCGGCTGCTGTCGCCCCTAGGGGGCAAGGGAGGCCTCTCACTCGACTCTGCCTCTTCGTCGGCCGGCGGCTTCGGCGGACTCGACGACGGATCCGCATCTATGAGATTCCAGTCGTCGAGCTGGGCTTGCTGCTCCGGAGGCAGATCCAAGACCTTGGCTTTGCCCCTATCCAGCGCTCCGAGGTCATCCCAGACATTCTGGTCCTCTATGAGCTCGTCCGATATGGCCGTCGCCGGGGGTGCCTCGGGAAGAGCCTTGTCATGGTCGGGCCGCGGGTCATCTTCCCACGTCGGCTCGTCCTCGGACGGCAGCGACATGAGTGCCGGCGATGCAGCAGCAGCGGGCACTTTTGCCGGAGGGGTCGGGACTTGGTTGCTTGCCCAAGGATCGCTCTCGGCGTCGTCCAAGAGGGATTTCTGGATTTTTGGAGGGGGCGCGTTGTGGGCAACACCGGGTGCCTGCCACGGATTGCTGCCCTGGCCGGCCTCGTCCAGGTCCAGCCTAGCGAAAGAGTCGACAGGCACGGCGTCGTTTCGGTGAGGCACCGGCTTTCGTTTCAAGAAGGGGTTCGTTTGCGACTTGTTGTCGCCCGTCTTAAAGGCGTTAGGGGCTTGACCAAGCTTGTCAATGTCGTTTGACTGCTGCCTCGCCTCGTCCCAGACGTTGCTGTCGTCCTCGTCGCCGAAATTCAGAGGTGCCTGGCCAGGCCTCAGAGCAGCGGGGACGCCTTTTTGGCCGGATGCCGGGGCGGCAGCCATCTTCTTTCGACTTGCTGCGTCCTCCCACACGCTCTCGCTCAGCTCGTCGCCCAGGGGCTGCTTGTGAGCGTCCGGCGGCGGACGGGGGGCTGAAGCTGGCTGCTCGTCGCCGGGCAGCTCTTGGGCGGCCATGTTCGGCAGGGCGCCGTTGTCTGGCCAAAGCCGTCAAGTTGAGATGAATCTATCGAGATACGATTGGATTGGCCCACGGCGTCTTCCAGAAAAGACGATCTGACCGAGTTGTCGGACAAAGCAGGCAGCAGCAGCAGCTACCGTCATGTACAAAGCATGAATCGGGGGCGATGATGTAAGCGGGGCGCGGCCGAGTGGAGATTGCATCCACTAGCTTGTAGCGGCATGTACTCCGCATGTATCAGAGACTTGGCCCTGGGCCAGTGAATGCAGGCGGGTGGGACGTACGGAGTACAGGTAATTACTGATGCTTGCGCAACGGGTAAACGGGGCTGCTGCGCTGGTCCCTTACTTCGTTTCCCCGTGGCGGTGCAGTGTGGCGGTGCAGGCCCGATGATGTCGCCCTCCTCCCTCGCTTCGTCGCGCTGACGCAAGCCGGTGACGCCCATCTCGCTGCCTCCCGCCTCGGGGTCGCACGCGTCTCGGCGCCGGATGGAAGACCGCCGACACGAGTCATGGATCGAGGCTCAAGCTCCGGTCATTTTCAGCTGCTGCCACGTCCCCTTCTCCTGGCCAGCATTCTTGTTCGATTAGTCTTCGCCGCCAGCCAGGAGCAAATAAGGGCGAGGATCTGATTGGAAACAAACGTCGTTTTGCGTCAAGGCTCCACCTGAGCAGAAAACGCTCGCCCCTGAATAATCACAACACCCCCATGATCTGTCCACAAGCTCGCTTCCCCCTGGTCAGCTCAGCATGGCCAATTCTGTTCAAGCCAAACCGGCCACAGTTGGTTACCTTGCCATTGCAGGCTACGTAGCCCTCCTTCGCAGTGCCCTGCCCGAACGATGAAGAGAAAAACGCCAACTCCAGGCTCTCCGTTGCATACAGCAAGGGTGTGCTTCCCCCGCGCGGCTCCGTGTCCCAACAAGACGTCTCACCGGCTGATCCCAAGAGTCCTCATCCTCTCACATGACGGCATCCTCAGTGCATCTGCCTGCGCCATCTTGTCCACGTCCTGGTAGAACCAGCCGACCGCGTCGCTCCGCATCTGCTGCTGGTACATCATCTCGTTTTCACACTCGCCGCGAAGGCGCCGCACCAGGTTGATCTCGGCAGACCGGTCGAGTTGGCTGAGCTTGGATTGGCTGTAGGACCTGATGTCGGCCGGATCGACAAAGTAGTGGATCTTGAGGCTGGGCGTTGTGCGGCCTTGAGTGTAGGGATGCTCCGGTTGATCGTAGACCATGCCGGGGATCGATGTTGACGAGGAGCCGCCGGAGAAGAGAGACGAGAGGAGGGGGAGGATGAAGAAGAGGATGATTGGCAAGAGCCCGATGATGTTTTGCAGGTTGGCGCCTTGTTGTTGTTCTTGGCCGGGCTGCGCCTCCTGTGGTCGTCGCCTGGGTCGTGCGCCCCCAAACTGGTGCACGCGAATGCCGGGGCCACCTCCAAAGTTGAAGACAAACTGCGGACCTGTATCAAACGCTAATCAGTCAGCAGTGTTGCGTCTCCCGGGACGAGCATCAAGGCGGCCATCGTCTTCTCACCTCCAAACGCGCCGCCGCCGCCGCCGCCACCGCCAAAGAAGCGCGCGAACATCTCCTCGGGGCTCAGCTCCTCTTCCCACATGCCGCCACCTCCGCCGCCCATGCCTCCGCCCATGCCGCCAGAGCGTTGCCGGGAAGCGAAGCCGGCAAAGGGGTTCTGTGCCTGGGCGCTGGCGAACCTGCTGTCTGGATCGGTGCCGAACTTGTCAAACTTTTCCCGCTTCTCCTTGTCGCCGAGGACGCCAAAGGCGCGGCTGACCATCTTGAAGGCCTCGTCTGCGTGCTCGTGGCCATTCTTGTCGGGGTGGGTCAGCAGCGACTGTTTCCGATAGGCCTTTTTGATGTCCGAGTCTGTGCACGAGGTTTTGACCGTCTCGAGGCCGAGGATGTCGTAAAAGGCCGTCGCGTCGCATCTCCGAATGCGCAGGACGGCCGCCTTTTGCTCAACTGTGTAAGTACGCCCCTGGTTCCCCTGTTTGTGATCGCGGGACCGAGCCGACGAGTCGCCCGTGCTGGCGCCGGATGCTGTTGCGCTCGGCATCGAAAAGCGTCAGATTGCGGAGCTGCTAGGAGGGAGAGGGCATGCAAGGGTCCCAAGTCAGTGGGACCGACGACGCCGCAGCGGATGGTAAATGGAAAATCGGCCGGGTGGTCGATGGCGGATGCGGTGGTCGAGGTTGGTCGGAGGAGAAGGTGGCTTCTTGGCGAGGGAGGAGTGGCGTTGGATGGAGTCGCAGCCGGTACAAGCCGCAAGGACCACGAGGGATCAAAGGGAAATAAGGATGGCCAAGGTAGCGAGCAAGGTCGTCAAGAAGGATGAGGCCTGCCAGACACAGTGTCCTGGTCACAAGAGGCAATCAACGGATCTACACAATGATTGTCTGCTGGCCGTGTCCGTCGAGCAAAATGCAACCGCAAGCACTCGCTCCTCCCTCCATCCTGTCTAGCTGGGGAGCTACACCACGTGACGCTGACAGTGTCTGTCTGCCTACCCTGAAGCTCTGTAAGTCTGCACATGAAACTGCCATTACTTGGCCCAAAGCTTGGCACCGTAGGCAACGTTTCCTGGTTCTCACCTGCACTCGGAGGAGCGCAATTTGAAATACTTTTTGGTTTGCCATGTCTGGCACATTTTCGCTCGTACAGAGCCACACCTGCGAGCGAATCAATCGTTCAGTTGACTCTCAGCTTCTGTTACACCAACACACATAGACAGCCCGGCGTCTTCCTTATGCAAGTGCTCAATAATCACGTATAAAAGGAATAAAAAAATAAGAAGGAAATAATGGAATTGACAATGAAACATGCCTTCTCCCACTCTCAACCCGCATTGTGTTAGAAAGTCCTCCATTGTGGCGGCTGGTAGAATCAAGGCAGATCACGTGACAACCTCCAAGCCCCGCAGACATTATCCCCAGCACCTTCAAATCCAATCCCCCGTCACTGAGAGCCCGCCGGTGACAACCCGCAACGCGACAATGCAGCCCACTCGCCTGCTGCTCAAACGATCCGTGTGGAAAGGTACGCGCAGAACGTTCCATCCCCACTTGTCCTCAAGCGACCGATGCTAATCGTCTTTCCCTCTTGCTAGGCCCGCACCTTGTCCCGTAAGCATCCATCGACCCGTCCGCCGCGCATCCCGTCCCCGAACCATCTAACCCTGTCGCTGCTGCGTGTCCAGACTGTCGATCGTGTGGCCCAAGAAACAGGGCGACAACGTCCCTCCGGTACGCACGCAGGCCCGCTCGGCCACCATCCTGCCCAACTTTGTCGGGCTCAACTTCGAGATCCACAACGGCCGGGACTATCTCCCCGTGACTATCTCTGAGGACATGGTTGGTCACAAGCTCGGAGAGTTTGCGCCGTACGTCCGCCCTTCTCACCTGGGAAGAGAAATAAGGCCCTCGGCTGTCATACCTACGCTCGTGTACTAACGCAACAGCGCAGGACGCGGAAACCCAATATCTGGTCCAAGTCTAAGAAATGAGCAACGAAAACCGAGCGAGAGCGACGGCTGGCGGAGCACGACTGGGCTACGCGACTGCCGCCACACTTATACCCTGTACGAGAATCTGTATCAACAGAGAGTGACCCCCGTCAAATGGCCAAGATGATTAGAAGCATTGTATTGCCCACCTGGGAATATCATGGCTTTCCAGTCTTGCCGATGCCGTCAATGTTGCCAGTGTAGCCCTTGCCCATTCCATGTCCTCTCCCGGAAACGCCGCCATTATAATGAGACCAAAGAAAGAACCATTCAACGCCATGCGTAAAGGCAAAGCCATCCCATCATCCCATAATGCCATCCCAACCCCCCGGGGAAATTGTCGCTCAGCAGGATTCCCGGGTTCTTTATCGGTAAAACTCGCTGCGTTTGACATTGACGCCATACTCGCCCACGGCCATGCCCAAATCCTCCATGGTCAGCACGGTCCTGTTTTGACTGCCGCCCTGGCCGCCGCCTCCGTAGCCGGGCCGCTGGATGCCCAGCGGGGGTCCCTTGCCCTGGTCCTTGTTTCCCGGCTGCCCGGCCTGCTGCCCGGGAATGGGAAATCCGGCCGCTGCGCCGAGGGACCCCATCGGATTGTTGGCATTTGTGTTGCTGGCGCGGATGCGGCTGTACTGGTACGCGTCGGCGGCAATGTCGGCGATGAATTTTTGCGTCGCGAGCGCCAGCAGCCGCGCCAGCCGGGCATCTGTCTGAGGCGGCGGCGGGAGCCCGGCCTTTGTCATGTAGTAATGGGTGACTGCGTCGGGAATCTGCGGCGCGGGGAGGAAGAATTGCGTTAGTTTTTCTCCTTCTTGACAAGCTGAGCGTACCCGGGACGGGAAAACGCACTATGGGAGCGCAGTCGTCAATCTTGTGCAGAAACTCGCGCAGCGAAATGTCCTTACGCGAGGCCAGTCTTGATTCCGGGGCAACGGTCGCGGGCGGATTGACTGGGTTTGGCGCGTCGGCGGGGGCGCGGTTCTCGCTCTGCCCGTTTTGCGTGGGAGGGCGCTGTTCGGGATTTTCAGGTGCATCGCTTGCCATTTTGCCGATGGTCAAGAGAGTCGAGCGACGAGTTTGTTGACGAAGTTGGCGGAACGATGTCTTGACTTCGAGTCGTGAAGGGCGGCCGATGCGACTAGGCTCCGGAGTCACGTGATTCAAGATGACGTACAGAATTGCTCAGTCAGCTGGCAGTCGAGTGCTGGGCAGAGAATGGCTTCAAGGGTGGATCCTTTCATTTCGTAATACGTATATCGACTCAATCAGCAACCCGCTTTTACTTTGTGCCCCTCGTGACGGTGGCCCCCATGGCACCAACGCCTCACCCTGGTCAGCGCTATCCTCCATTTTCGGGATCAAGCACACAACATAGTCTATCGTGGAAACTATCATGGCATCCCAACCTTTTCCATGACGACCAGTGGGCTCAAGCCTCGTGGTACTACTGAGCTCGGAATTCACCGCCAAACGCCAGCCATGCCGCCCTTCTCCCGGTGGGCTTGCTTCATCTTACTGTTGGTACAGACTCAGGTTCCGTGGGTTCCAAAATGTTGCCTTCCACCACATTAACCGAGCGCAACGATTCAGGGGGCGGTAGAGTATTCAGCTCGCCGTCATCTCCTATTGGCTGGCCGCTGTGCCACCAACCCTTTATACCGGAAGCTTGAACTTCTGGCCCTTGAGAACCTTGGTGTAGTAGATGTAGAAGAAGTCGCTGTAGAGAATGGTCTGGATCAGGCCGGCAACAATGGCGATCCAGTCGGGCTTGTGGGTGGGTTCGGCAAAGTATCTGTAGATCCAGTTGGGGATGTAGAGGGCTCGGTAGCTGCCGAGGGCGAAGAGGTAGTGCGTCGTGATAGTTTCGGCCTCGCCCGTCCTCTGGAGCATGAAGAGCTGGGGCAGAATGGCGACAGACTCGAGCCAGATGGAAAAGGCCCAGAGGATCTCGGAAACGGTGTACTTGTAGGGGAACAAGACGGCCAAGATGGCCGCGCCCCCGAGCAGGTACTGGACGCGAAAGGTGTCGACATTGGGGTCGTTGGTGGGCTTGTACGCGTTGGTCATGAGGTAGATGATGTAGCCCTGTGAGCCGATGAAGAGGACCTTGAAGACAAGATTATAGATGCTTTCGGTCGCGAAGAGATCTGCGGACAGGTTAGAGAATGAGAATGCTGCGGCGTTGCGGGACACGTTACCAAGATATCGAGTGACGTAAACGAAGAGATAGAGAGCTTGCGACTTGAAGGAGATGCCGGAGCAGCTCTGCGCCAGACAATTAGCATCATGCAGGCCCAAATAGCCGATGGGGGAGCTGTACATTCAGCTGCACCATTTTGTGCAGCAGGATGAAGATGCTTGCCAGATGCGAGAAATCCGCTGCGATGACAAGAGTCAGCTTGGATGCTCAAGCAGGGAAGCCAAGGAGCAGAGCGGCGACACACGAACCGGCGACGCGGAAGACGTTGAGCGACATGATGAATCGGAGCAGCCGTGCCGCAGTCGTGGGTCGTGGGAGGTCTGGGTGCAGGCGAGCTGGGGTGTAGCTGCAGAGGCAGCGGGCGGCAGCTTGATCGCAGTCCGAGTGCGTGTGCTCCGAAGCTGGAAGGGCGCGGAGGCTGCCGTGAGGATAGGCGGCGAGGGTTGATTTGCGTGGACAGACGGATGGCGTGGAGGAAAAAGGACACGATCGCGACTCTGGATCACCCTGGTAGAGGGGCGCAGGAACAGCGGGAGTGCAGTCCCGCTTGGGACTAGCGCTCATTCAGTCCATCCCTGGCAGGTACTGTCTACCTGAATCGCCGGGCCTTTTGTGTGAAAGCGTAGGTCTAGAGTACACTGAAGTGATTCGCCATCTCATAATTCCTCGTGCATGCACTCAGCTCGCAGACCCTGACTTTCATGGAAAAGGCCCGTTCTGTAATTACGAGACGAGATGCCGCTGGGTCCCGATCCTGACAAGGGACGGATAACTCGTGCGTACAGTAGGGCGAATGAAGGCGGGCGGCCCTCTGTATATCGAGCCACATGTCGGGGCCCGCGCCTCAGCATTCCGGGCCGCAGGCTGTGGCGCAGGCTCTTGCTCGCAAATAGGGAGTACCGTAGTGGAACTCGGCCCACAGTCAGGCATCGGTGACGTAGATTAAATTACAAAGCATCGCCGAACTTGCCCGAAACGCTCCTCTCCGTCCTCCGCCCTATTAAGGCGCCTTGCCCTCCGATGGCTCTCTCATGGAAGACCACCTTGGTTTCTGCATCCTCTGTATCGCGCCAACGTTCTATCTCTCGCAAATCCCGACTCTCTTGAGGAACCGCACCCCATCCAAAGTCACAACCACCGCACCACTCCTTTTCCAGAGACGCGCGCATACATCTACAGCTCGGCGCATTCCTCTTTGCTTGAGACTCCGGCCCATTCGTCTTGCCGACGACAATGAGCGACGCCGTCTCCTTGGCCGAGTCGTCCGGCTCCGAGTCGGGCTGGATGACCATGACAATTAGCCACCGAAAACACAACTACAGCTTTGACCTGCCCGACGACGCCACCGTCGCCGACCTCTTTGTCGAGATCGAGGCCGCCCTCGATATCCCCGTCAGCAACCAAAAGATACTGGTGCCCAAGGGGCCGCTTCTCAAAGCACCCTTCAAGGACGCCAACATGTCCCTCCACTCCCTGCAGGGCAAGGCGTTGACTCTCATGGGCTCGGGCGTCGCCGAGGTGCAAGCCGTCAAAGGCATGGCCGAAAAGGTGGCGAGGAGAAATGCCGCCCGGATAGCCCAGAGGGCCAAGACGAGGACGACGAGCCGCAAGAGCCAAGCCAGGTCCGCCGACGACGCAAAATACACCTTTCTCCAGGTGCAACCGCTGCAGGGGCTGCCGCACCCGGAGCGCAGCCAGGCGCTGCTTATGCGGCTCAAGGAGGACCCGGGCATTAGAGCCGCCATGAGGAAGCATAAGTTCACCGTCGCCCTCCTAACAGAGATGGAGCCTCTGTCTCATACGCAATCGACGCACGAAGGCACCTCGCGCATCCTCGGGCTGAATCGCAACCAGGGCGAAGTCGTCGAGCTGCGCCTGCGGACCGACGCGCACGACGGCTATCGTGACTACAAGACGATCCGCAAGACGCTGTGCCACGAGCTTGCGCACAACGTTCACGGCCCGCACGACCGCCACTTCTGGGACCTCTGCCACCAGATTGAGCGCGAGGTCGATGGCGCAGACTGGAAGACGTCGGGCCGCACCATTGGCGAGACGTCGCGCTACACCATCTCGGGCCAGGACGACGAGACACACGAGGACGACGGCGGCTGGACCGGCGGAGAGTTTGTCCTCGGCGGCGGCAAGGACCAGAGCCCCGGCATGAGCCGCAGGGAGGTTCTGGCGCAGGCGGCCCTGGAGCGACAGAGGAAGGAGGCCGGGGCCGAACGCAAGGCTTGCGACGCCGCAGAGAAGGGCTGGCGGCCGTGCCAGCGCTCACAACAGAGCGACGGGACAGAGTAATGGTACTCTCTCCTCGTGGTCCTGCCCACCTCCGTCTACTGCGGCAGCTGCATTTGATCTCTTGACGAAGCAGGCAGCGCGACGATGATTCTTGTACGAGCGTGTTTCTCCTGGAGTTGAGCCTTTGCTTGGGTGCATTTACACGATTGGATTGGTTAATGCTGCATGGCGATATCAAGCTGGGAATGAATTTGTGAAGTGGAGTGTAAGATACAATCTTATGAGGCTCATGTGAGCCAAGCTCTTGACATGTACTGTTACGATATATTGGCTTTCTGGGGAAAAGAGGAGCGAGGAGGCAACGGATTGTTAGTAAGGCAGCGGATCCATGTCGAGCCCCTGCACCGTGAGCTTGAAGGCATCGTTTCTGGAGTAGCTCCCCGCCGTGTCGATATCTAGCCGCCCGCGGATGCAGTCCCGCATGTCGACGTCGGCGTAGATGAGGCCGTCGTCGTCTTCCCACTGCGGCCCGGCCAAGACGTCTCCAAACGGCGACACGATGCACGAGCCCCCGCGCGAGACAAAGTCGTGTGGCGACGGCCGGGCATCGACGGCGCTGTCGTCGTCGTCTTCTTGGCGGCACAGGACAATCTCGTTGCCGTCGTCATCGAAGACGACCGACTTGCGGCGGTGCTTGGGACGCGGCGAAGTCGTCGACGGCAGGGCCGCAGGGCGGGCGTCACGGCGGACGCACATGTTGCTGCTGACGACGAAGCAGCGGCCTTCGACGCCAATGGTGCGCATGAGGCCGAGCCAGGCATCGCGGCCGTCGGCGGTGGGCGCAAGGTAGAGGTTGATGTTCTGCGCGTACAGGCTCTGGCGCAGCAGCGGCATGTAGCTCTCCCAGCAGAGGGCGGCGGCGAGGTTGACACGCGTGCCGCGGATGGTGGTGGAGACGGCGCGCAGGGTGCTGGGGCAGCCCTGGGCCCAGACGAGGCGCTCGGTGCCCGTCTGCGAGGAGCACATCAACGGGGAAGAGCGGAGGGCCGAGGGCCGAGGGCGCAGCGTACCGGCATGACCTTGCGGCGCTTCCCGACGACGCCCTCGCGCGGGCAGACGTAGACGGCGGCGCAGTAGAGGCTGCCGCCGGCCTTTTCGATGCAGCCGGCGACGAGGAAGACGCCCGTGTCGCCGGCAATGGCCTCGAGCGCCTCCCTGGTGCCGTCGCCGCGCACCGTGTCGTGGTCGCCGAGCTCGCGGCGGAGCCAACGGGCCCCCGCGCCGGCGCCGTCGCCGACCGTGTCGCCGAGGTCGACGGCGGCGTCGAAGTAGCGCGCAAACTCGTCGCGGCCCTGGGCGGTGCGCTCGCCGACGACGCAGCCAAACGAGGCGCCGCGCGGGTAGCCGCCCAGGTAGGCCTCGGGCAGCACCAGCAGGTCGATGCCGTGGCCGGCCGCGCGCCGGGCCAGCGCGCCGAGCTGAGCGAGCGTGGCCGACGTGGTGGGGCCCGTGGCCGGCGAGGCCGTTCCGATGCGGATGGATGCCGCTGCCGTCGTCGACATTTTATTATGTATTACTCTGCTGGCAAGTTGGAGGTGCGTTCGCGGCGCTGGTGCTTGGGACGGGACCGAGGGGGAGGAGGGTCATGTCTATTTATGGCGGAGCCAATGTGCCCGCAGTCGCCACCGTAGTCTTACAGTGTGTTATGCCTTGCCGCATGGGTGGGATGATGACCCCAGACTTCTACACGGCTCGTGAGGCGGCATTGGATGTAAGCATTGGTCGAACACGCAACATGTTCCACCTTGGCGATCTATTTCGGACTGCTCGTGCACAACCTCAGGCCGCCCTGAATTCCCCTTCTCGGAGCTGCTGCCGTGCCCGGCGTGACCTGCAAGTCCGGCATGCCGCCCACTGGCGGGCATATGCGAATATTGAACGCATGTATCAACGGGCGAACGCGCTGAACCCATACTTACTTGATACATGGTCGCATCGGCCTGGCGCCATGCCGCAAAGCCCAGCTATTCAGGCGCCCTGGTCTGTAGAAGGGAGTCGGGTTGACCAATGCATGCAGCGCTTTCATTCCAGCAGTGAGAAGCCATGGGGCAGAAAGCAAAGCCACGCAGGAATCAACCCACGTCTGCAATATAGGCCGGCACAAGCAGCATAATTGATCAAGGGTACCTGATAATGAATAAGCGCCCTAGTCTGCATCGATCTGATCCATCTACGGCAGGCGCTAGCACGCCTGCAATTCTTCCGTAGTATAGTGGTCAGTATGCAAGCTTGTCACGCTTGAGACCCGGGTTCAATTCCCGGCGGGAGAGAATTTTTGGGCCTTTGCTTTTTTGCTAACGCTCCCCTTTGTTCCCTCCATCTTCTGTTCTTTTCCTGGTCACTGACAGATGCGTAGTCTGGGTGCAACAACGCCTCCACCGCTTACACCAATTGCGAGGTAATGGGCTCCCCATGATGAATTTAATTCTGTTGCGTCGACCTGTCGGATATTGACATACAAGTCACTGTCCACTAGCTGTGGCGGCGGCTGGAAGAGTAGGCAACACTCGCACGAAACCCTGAATTGCCCCCAAGACTGAAATATTTGAGCTTCGGGACTCGACTACAGGTGTTCTCCGAACCCCAAGATATGGGCTCAGATGTCGGACATCTCGTCTGTGGAATTCATCTCGACCTATCGACGTTGATTGGCCACATGGAATATAGTTCAGACGACCTCCCCCGACGAGTTCAACTTCACGGCCACCCGAACATAAGCGCAGACGTGAACACTGAACACCAACTGACGATCCAAGGTCGAAGCTGCTTCGCAAGGTTGACGCCCACGCCACATCTTGGCCCTCGTCATCGGGCAATATACAGTGTTAGGCGAGGATGGGGTGAAGCTCGTTTGAATTTGTGATGCCTTGTCTGGAAAGGGGCAGTCCAGCTCAGGAGCCAGAACTGGATTGTGGTTGGGTAATGAACCTGCATCATCAGGCATGCTACGCATCAAGCCAAATAGGAGTGGAGAAAACCAACTCGGATAGTCCTCCCCTGAGGAGTCGACGTGGGACGGTGAAGGGAGCATGAGAAATGGCTTTGCCAGAAAACCAGCTTGACATGCAGTAGAGATTGGATAGCCGGGACCTCGGCGGATCATTACAGTACGAGTGATGGCCGTCCGACCCACCATACCACACTCGGGTAATGAAGTGAAAGCAGGAACCCACTGTGGACGGGAAGATGCGGAATACAAGAGTTGGGGTGGAACCCCTTTCTGGGGTGGAGGACGGGCACTTGGCAGTTTGTCGGTGTCGAGCGCACGGCGCATGCCCCCCCTTGAGCACGCTGCAAGCAAGAAGCAACTGAGCAAGTGGTGATGAGTGCCGTAGAAGGGGCGAGACGAGCCCTGATCTGCTGGTCGGCCTGCAAATCCTTCTGTTGCGTCACCAGGCGGCGTTTTCTCTCCACAAATAACTTGCTCCTGTCTCGAAGAGTTGACAAAGTCTGGAGGGAGCGAACGCAAGACCCACGAGTTCCTCGTTAGCAGCGACGTCCTCATCCCTGACCGTCATTGGTGTCGTCACTCAGTCCATATCACGCTCCAGCCCGCATGACCACCGCTGCCTTCAGGCGGCTACCAGGGAGGCCTGCGGTAGAGTCGGATGACATGGCTGAAATTATCGACCATGACATTAAGAGCGGGGGCCTGAATTACAGAACTTGGACTTTGAGAGACGTTCCAGCGCATTATGAAGGGGGACAGAGGGGGGCTCTATATCAAGCACTCTCGACAAATAAGCAGCCTGCATCATGTAGCCCCTCAGACTGTTGGTTGGTGTTGGGCCTGAAGAACGTGAGCATGTTATCTTCTACGCCTTTTCGCCTGCATTGATTCATACCACCTCCTTCTCCACGGGGAGTGAACTGTGCTCCTTACAAGATGGCAATGCAAAGCCCGCTCACCGTCGTCATGTGCCTGTAAGCCGCTACACCTGACGACGGCTCGGCTCCCGCGCACCCCCCGCGGGGCCCCAAGACGTCGCACAATGTTGGTGGGAGTAGGGGTTAGCACCACTCGACTCCGTCCGAATCTTCGGATGCATACAAATTACAACATTCGAGGACGGAGGGGTAGGGGGAGTAGAAGGGAGGGCAAGGGTAAGGGCGGTATTTTTAGTGTAGACGGCATAGCGAAACCAGGTTTTGATCGCTCAACACTTGCGGCCGATGCCTCCGAGGTCGAGTTAGCACGAGGAGGCACCGGCAACTTGACTAGCCAAGCAACTTGACAACGAGGCTGGTGTTTGCCTACAGTCGTCGATGAAACGACGCCATCCCGCAGTCGCGGAGTTCATCCAGGCTAAAGGGGAGTTCGTGCCTTCGCATACGCAAGCATGGGAACGATGTTGGGTCGACGTATGTATGCAAGCTGTGGGCCCGGTTTACGCATAGGCGTGACCTGTTGTGCAGTCGCCGCGTGGTGACTTGCGTCAGTGACACAAGCCCCCTTTCGGAATTCCCGGTGCGAGATGCGTGGCCAAAGACAGAATGAACTGGGTGTCGGCTCCTGCTTCTGGCCCGTGGGCGAGAGCGATCCGCTCTTGGCTGTCTCACAATGTCGTCCCGGTGGATCCCCAGAGCGAAGGGCATTGACTCGCCCGATGTCGTTGGCATTGACGAGACAGGAGTCCCGAGACTAGCCTGATACGGCGATGGGTTGCCGTCTCAGCCAGGTAACCGATAGGCCTTCGTATAACCGTTGCCAGATGACTTCAAGTGATGGCCGCCAAGGCCATCGGCTCCCACGGTACACGCCGGCCCACCGTCGAACCGTGGAGCTGCTTGCGAACCACACCCACAAACTAGTCGGCAAGACTCTCATAGTAAGGGGTAAGATTCGACCCGTCACTCGTACCAGCATCGTTGGTTGAAGCTCGCACAGGACTACATGTACGTGTAGCCGTTGATTACATTGAAGCTCATAGGCATGGCCGGGCTCTAGGCATCCAATATTCTAGTCGAGTTTCCTTGGCTGGCTCCAATGTCCTGGTTCTCGGTTCTCGGTCCTCGGTTCCCAGTCCTCTCCCCCCCTTAACATGGTCCGACCCGCCGAGATCAAACATTCCATCCCATCACACAGTCGAACACTCCGGCTCCGCAGCAGTCAAACAACTATCCCGCTCCAGGTCCAAAAAATCAGGAATAACACAAATGCATTGTACCGGTATATTGGGCTAGACCCTGTTTTCCCGGTCGGTGCTGCTAGGCAGGCGATCAGCCGAGTGGCTGTCGCTCGCTCGGGCGATTATCTCTTGATTTAGTGCACCCTCGAGTCTGGGTCTGCCTGCCCCTTGAACCCAGAGTCCTTCGCTCGACCCCTCGAATCTCCAACCCTTGGCAGACGCATCCACCCACTTTACGGTCACTCGAGAAGCAGGTTGAACCACGTCATTGAATCATGAGCTGGTTATAACGAGCACTGATGCCCGGCGGGGGCACGGCAAACACCAGCATCCCCGGACCTGGCAACGGCCGACGCCGTGTCCCTTCGATGAAGAGTAGATGGTGCATCTTGTATAAAGGATCAGCCCGTCTTCCCGTTGAAGTCGTCTGAAGAAGCAACTCGCTTTAGCCTTTAACTCACCACAGGCTAATCCCGGCTTCTTTTCCGCTCTCGTCCGGTTTAAACGGGATTTCTTTCACTTTTATTACTCCTTCCTGCGACACTTATCAAGTCTTTTCATTCACCATGGTAGTGCTTCTTCTCTTCGTGGCCAGCCTGATGGCTACGGCTTCTATGGCTGGCCCAATAGAAGTTGAAGACAATGTCGCACACTTTGGCTGTGGCAATGCGGACCTTACCGCCGAGGAGCACAGCGTCTATTCGCGCCAGCTCGGGGCTAACCGGCCGCAGAATGATGACGGCAGTGAGATCCCGTTGCCTTTGTCCTTCGCATTCTGCTGCACACAAGAATCAGACTGCCCATTTGTGAGTTGAACGCAACCAGAACACACATCTACATCCGTCGTGCTCGACCGAGTTCTAACATGTGGTGTGATAGGACGCTCAAGAGATGGGACAGAAGGAGACTGAAGTGATGAACGAGTACTGGAACACCCTCGGAATCAACTGGAATCTCGCCACCTCCGTGAAGATCAGCAATGATAGCCGCTGTAAATTGGAGATTTTGAGCGGCCAACAACCAGATCTGGAAAGTCTAAAGAGCGCCGTCCGTGCACCTGGCTCGGAACAGCTCACCATTCTCTCCATGCCATCTAACAAAGGCGCGGGCACGAAGGGACAGTGCATTGTTCCGCAGGGGGAACCTCCTCTCAAGAAGAACGAGCAAAGTTTTGTAGATGGCTGCGTCATCGCCATGGATACCCTCCCAGGCATGGAAAACGCTGGCGCCGGCAAAAGGCCAACACAGAACGGTGGCTCAGGCGGAGGCTTCGGCCGCTTTTTCCGTCGCCAACAGGAGCAACGTCAACGTCCGAGCATCACCACCGTTCACGAGGCTGGTCACTGGCTCGGTCTTGAGCACGAACCGCAGCCGGGGGGGCAAGGCTTCCGTGCGGGGCGTAGGCGGGCAGCTCAACGGGGCAACGTCATGGAGCCGTGGTAAGAGTCCTTGAGCTTGACGGCGACGTTACCGATCTTCTTCTAACATGTGCGCATCAGGTCCCGCCCAGGCGTTAACTACGAGTTCAATGATCGGCAGAAGAGACAAGCGCGGCAAATGGCGCTGGCGCGTATTCAAAAGGGAAACTCGACTGATGGCACTGAATACAACGATGGAGGCGGAATCGGCGCAAAAGGATCACCTAACCAGTCTGGCTCCCCAGGGGCTCCTCAGGGTAGTCCCACTCAAGACCGTACTCGCGGAGGAGTCAATACCCCCCCAGGACCGATCGGCGACCAGGGTGGTCCCCGTCAAAACGGTCCAAGCCGAGGAGAGTGGCCAGCCGATCCTCTCCAGCCACCGTTTAGCGGCCCGGAAATCTTTAGAGGCGACGGTAGTCCCGGCGAAGACGGTCCAAGACGAGGACAAAAGCCGGCCGAGCCTGTCCAGCCACCGTTTGGCGGCCCGGAAATCTTTAGCGGCGACGGTAGTCCCGGCGAAGACGGTCCAAGACGAGGACAAAAGCCGGCCGAGCCTATCCAGCCACTGTTTGGCGGCCCGGAAATCTTTGGCGGCGACGGTCCAAGACGAGGACAAAAGCCGGCCGAGCCTGTCCAGCCACCGTTTGGTGGCCCGAAAATCTTTGGCGGCGACGGTAGTCCCAGCGAAGACGGTCCAAGTCGAGGACAAAAGCCGGCCGAGCCTGCCGACCCGGCGTTTGATCGTCCAAGAAACTTCGAGGGCGACGGTGGCTTTTCAGGCATCCCCCAAACGGTTTCAGAGGGTATCCAGGAGGGTCAGGGAGACTTGGGCGAAGGAGCCGGAGCACCCGACCTCAACACCAACAAAATTATCTCTTCCGGGATGAAGAATTTGGGCATGGCCAGCTAGAAGAGCTGTCAGGAGATGACCTAGGCTGCCAACGCACCCTTGCTTCATAGGCCGCAGACGACTCCGACGAAATCAAATAAAGCCGGTACCACACACACTTTTACGGGCTCAATACGAATCCTAATTAGTGATGGACAAGAGGCCGGACCTTCCACCCCCGCACGATTGAAGGGGTGGATGGGGAAAGGCAGGCATTCCTTTGGTGTCTGGAGGACCCGTGCGGAAAGAGGTGAATGGCTATTCCCTGGGCTGAGGCGTTGGTGTTGCTGTTGTGGTCACTGAGCGTCGGTCAGGCATTGTTGAGCGGGTCGGGCCTGAGAGGGGCGATGGTGGCGAGTCGCTTTTTACCTTTTCTCTTCTTTCTCCGTCTTTCCTTCGAGCTTAGAGGACAGGTGTTTCAGGACGACGAGTCCTATCGTATATAAGTGTTAGAAAAGATGGACTGCCCATGACGGGAATACATGTCTCATCGTCCATTGCAAAGCCGACCGCCCTCTGGTGGCTGAAGTCAAGGCCCCGAACATGCGTGACCCCTTTCTTATGCATTCAGAATCCCATCTGCCCTTCTGCCGTACTTCGTACTTTGTTACTTCGGCGTGTTCATGTAGATCGCTTTCTCTGGGCAAAGGACTTGGATTTGGAAGCTGCCGTATATAACATTCTCCATGTCATGTTGATTCAAAAATAAACACAAACTTTTGAGAGATTTGAGTATACAAAGTCGGCTTGCTTGCAGTGCATGGCGAAAACTGGATTCATCCGGCAAGCAATGTTAATTGTCAGCAGGACAACGATTTATAAACCATACTAATAATACCTCCACAGGGGGTGCCCCTATTTTGCTGGTAGTCAAGTGGTATTTGCTATGTTTGACAGTAATAATTAGAGACGCAGGCATAGCACCACTCGACTGCACAGCTCGGTAGATTTAAATATCCGACTACATTGATCTCGACATTGATCTCGACTCATTAAAATGCACAACTATATACGGATCAAGACAACTTTGGGCGCGTCCATACCGGAGATATCGGGTGTTGGTCCGTATCCATGGCGACTTACAAATGCAACCCGCGACGGTTCCACTACTCCATATATGCCACGCATATATACCGCCCCTGATTCGCGCCTCGTTCGTCTTGAAACAAACTCTAGACCCCTATGGAGCGTTACAGGGTTCTTCGTCCCGTGTCTTCTTTTCTTTGATGGCTTGAGTGTTGGGTTACGCAAACCTTCGCGCACCTCCGGGCAGCCCGCTAATTCCGAAAATGCCGTAAAGTGCGAATTCGGGCTTGAGGCACGCCCCGAGCCGGACTGAAGCACGAGCGGTGGAGTTCCCTGAGGGGCGAAAGTCGGCGCTCGAGGCCTAGGGCTGCTGAAAATGACACGGAGCCGGGCGGTGGTGGTTGTATGAGCGAGCACCTATAAGAACCCAGTCGCCAGCTCCCATCATCCGACTTGGTCCATCGCCATCAGACTTGAACCAAGATCCCGTCACTCAGAGCATCAATAAACACCAAAGCACACATACAAACATTCCAGCAACATGGCAGACCGCTACATCTCCGCCCACAAAACGCCCAACGGGCCGGGAGACGCGCGCCCAACAGCCGCCCAGATCATCAAGGACGAGGCCCTCGACGGCGGCCAGCTCGGCGGCCAGACCGCCCTCATCACCGGCTGCTCCGCCGGCATCGGCGTCGACACCGCAAAGGCCCTGTACGCCGCCGGCGCCACGCTATTCCTTACCGCGCGGGATCTTGCCAAGGCCCGCGCTGCGCTGGGGGATGCCCTCGTCGGTGATGGCGAGCGTGTGCACCTGCTGCAGCTTGACCTCGAGTCTTTCGACAACGTGCGGGCTTGTGCGGCCGAGTTCCTTTCCAAGAGCGCGACTCTCAACTTGCTGATCTGCAACGCGGGAGTCATGACGCCCCCAGAGGGCCGTACGAAGGACGGCTTCGAGACACAGTTCGGAACCAACCACCTCTCGCACTTTCTCCTCTTCAACCTCTTGCAGCCCGCGCTCCTCGCCGGCGCCGCTACCTCAAACCGGGCCTCGCGCGTCATCGTCCTCTCGTCGCTCGCCCACCGCTTCGGCGAGGTCAACTTCGATAACTTCAACTTTGACGGCAACTACGACCCCTGGACCGCCTACGCGCAGAGCAAAACTGCCAACGTGTGGACGGCCAACGAGATCGAACGGCGGTACGGCAGCCAGGGCGTCCACGCGTGGAGCGTGCATCCCGGGGCCGTGCTGACCGATCTGATGCGGCACATGTCCGACGCCGAGAAGACCGGGTTCCATGAGGACCCCTTGCTGGCCAAGATGTTCAAGAATTCGGAGCAAGGAGCTGCGACAAGCGTCTGGGCCGCCACTGCTGCGGCTCTGGAAGGTCAAGGCGGGAAGTACCTAGAGGACTGCCGGATCACCGGGCCCTGGGACCCTTCGGTCGGTGAGTTTGGCCCGGGGTACGCGACGTACGCGTATGACGTGGAAAAGGCAACCAAGCTGTGGAACAAGTCTAGGGAGTTGGTTGGTTTGCAATGATGGATGCTATAGATGAGCTGTTGGGATGCAACGATATGAAACGAACAGATGAATAGAATCGCACCACTCTTAGACTTGGTTCGTTCGTGAAGTAGTCGGCAGTGTTGGTATGATGAATAGGCTGTAAGCAAGCTCGGTGTTATTAAATGCGAGCCAACTGACGGAGCTTATTCTCACCAATCAGTCAATTCAATATGGAAAGAGTGCTGAAGCGAGGCACGTTGAGCAGACGAGAGTGACTTGAGTCGGAGCGACTAAGCAGGCAAGTAATTAAGCTCCAGCCGAGATGTGACTTTCTCGTTACTCCTCATAGGTTTCAATGCCTACAAGGTTTCCAAACTTCCTGTCATTGGGGACCTTCCCGCCTGGGTATAACATCGGATCGCACGCCCCTCATCGTCTCCTGGTCCGGGTGGCTACGGGCGCCGGCTCAAAGGCATTCTCGTCATCCGAGATCTCGTCGTCGCTAATCTCCAGCGCCTGCGCCTGCGTCGCCGTCCCCTGCGAAAAGTCGAGCATCGTCTGCCGCGTCCGGGCTGAGCCCCTCGTCGCCGCCGCCGGGGTCTGTCTCCTCGCCGCGGGCGCGGGCTTGGCAGCTTGGCCTCGTCGAGACTTGGGCGCAGGCTTGGGCGCCGGTGCCTCCTCGTCCGACTCCATGACGACGTCTTCCTCTTCCTCTTCCGCCTCGTCGCTCTCGTCGGCGGCTTTGCGCCCGCGACCCCGGGTGGATCGGGCAGGCGGTTTCTTTGCCGTCGGCTTTTTGGCTGTGGTTTTCGTCGTCGCCTTCGACCTGCCTGCGCGGGGTTTCGTTGCACCTTGAGAAGCAGGAGCCTCGTCATCGTCTACGTCAGGCATCTCATTGTCATTCGGTTGCCGTTTCCGCCCCCGTCCCTGTCCCCGCGATGATTTCCCCAGGCCCACCGACGTCGCATCGAGGGTTGCGTCCTGTGTGGGCTCCTCATACACCCACGCATCGGCTTCGTCTTCCCAGTTGCCATCAAAATCGCTATCCCAGGTATCGGGTTTGGGCTTGAGCATGCGTTTCCTTTGGCCCCGCTGCCTCGGCGGCGCGCTCGCCACCTGCTGTTCGATTCTTGAGCGATAAATGTCCATGGCGCTGTTCAGGTCCTCGTCGTCCGACTCGAGACCCAGAAGCTGCTTCACCTGCCCGGTGAGGTGCTCAGAGACAAACAGCTCCATGGCGTGCTTGTCGTCCTTGGAAACAAATTGGTTGACGGCGTCGCCAAAGGGGCCTTGGGGGAGAACCTTGAGGGACTGGGCGGAAAGAAACTCTTGGACGAGCGACTCAACCTTGACCATGTCGCCGCCATCGGTCATAGCCTCGAGAGCATCCGCTGGCGTGGCAGCAGTCGCCTTCCCTGAGGGGTTGTCAGCATGGGATGGGAAAGGAGAGGAGATCGAGGATGCGTACGCAGCGAGGACTTCTTGCGATAAAAGTAGACGACGTCGTTGGTGTTGGCCACCTTTCCGACGAAGCGGTTGGAGAAGCGCTGCGGATTCTCGCACTCGAATTGACCGCCCTCGGAGGCGCTGTACTCGACCTTGAGACGGACAAGTGGCAAGGGTCGCTCCTCGAGGGCCTCTTGGTCTGTTTGGATCGCCTCCCACTCGGCGTTGGCTTCCTGAATCATTTCCTCGACAACCTCCATCAGGCGCCGCGTCACCTCTTGCCTATTGTCCTTTTTCTTGTCCAACCCTTCGAAACGCCCGTCTTGGGCCAGCACAAGCTCTCGGGTGACAAACGGGCGGACAGTCTTGAGAGGTATCTTGTCGACGGAGAAGTCTTTGCCCGTGACGCTCAAAATGGCCACGTTCTTCTGGACAGCCTCTCCGGGAACCAAGGATGTGGCGACGGATGAGCCGGGTTGCATGACGTGAAAGCCCGTCTCAGGGTTCTGCGTGGGGTCGATGACGCATTCGTGCTCATGACCCCAGACGACGAGGTCGAGCCAGTCGGGCAGTACGTTCTCGGGCAAGTACGACGTGGCGGTGTGTGCGTGGTGATTTTGGTGGACGGCCAGCAGATTGAACCAGTCGCCAGTCTGGACGTTGGGACGGAACCATTTGACCTTGTGGTCTCGAAAGGTGCGAAACATGCGCTCGTCGCGGACATTGCTCAGCCCGAACAGAGCCAGCTTTGTGAGACCCTTTTGCAGCAAGATGGGCTTGGCCTCGATGTTGTCCGCCTCAGCCACGCGGCCAAAGTAGTTGAGCAGCCCGCTCGCCTGCAACAGGTCGAGCGAGCAAAAGTTACCGTCGCCCGAGGGATCGTCGTGATTGCCGTGGATGGAAAAGACAGGGATGGAGACGTTGATGTCCGGGTCCTCGTAGTTGACGTGGGTAAAGGCGCCCTCAAAGACCTCGGCCGCGTCGGAGAGGAACTCGAGAGGACAGGGCTTCATGCCGAGGCAGTTTTGGCGCAGGGTCCGCATGACTTGGTACAGCGACTTGCGAGACGGCTTGTTGTCGTGGAAGAGGTCGCCGGCGAGGAGAACCATGTCGACCTGGCGCGATGGCGTTAGCCGGCAGGGCACGCAGCGCTCGGGGGTCTGGGGCCATGTACATCTTGCAGCCGAGCAGCATTCATAATCTCGTCAAACGTGCGCCAGCTGTCATCCTTGCGAATGGCGTCTCGCTCCTCGAAGCCGACGTGGTTGTCTGTCGCGACGAGGATGCGGATCGTGTCCGCCTCTGCAAGTCGAGTCAGTCTATGGTGTGAAGAGCTGCAGGGCATCGGGCAGTCTCACCTGTGAATTCGGTCATTTCAAGAGGGCTGGAAGCCAGCAAAGGGCCCGAGGAAGACGCAAGCGGGTCGTGGTCGAATGAAGCCGAAGGCGCGAGGGTTAAAAGGGACGCGCAGGCCGTGGACGCGAAATGGTGCGAAGTCACGTGATGCACTTTGGTCTCAAACCAGCAGCTCTTCGGCGAGTGCAAGCACGACTTTTACGAGCGAAGCTGCTATGACCGTAAATCGAGAGATTACTGACAAAATGTACTATTGTTTGATGATACTGACCAGGAGAACCATACAGATAAAGCGTCAAGGCTAGCACTGTAACCACTTATACTGGACCTCGAGGAAAGGCCTCATGATTAGTCTATTAAAGCCTTACAAGGTGTCAATGAAACATGACCTTGGCAAAGTATAACGATACTCTTCGGAGCACCTGTCGTACCCCTCCATCCCGTGTGTACCAGCCACGGCTATGGTCCTGAGTGAACAATCAGACCCGTAGCTAACATCGCTTGCAAGTCCATCTAAATGCAGCTCCGATTATGATCCATCACCGTGGTCCCAAGAAACGCCACAAAGAAATTGAACAAGGGCGACATATCTATATCACGATTCCGCGTCGCTGCCAGCCGCTCTTACCCTTCCACGCCCAAAAGAGGAGCACGCACGCCACCCAGACGGAGATGCCCTCTGCCCAAAAGGCGGCCGAGTAACATTGCACGCCGTAACAAAGGTTCTGATCGTCGGAACCCCCCCCTGTCTCTGGTGCGGATGGCGCCTTGGCCCCGGCCTGGTAAACTCCTGAGTAGACCAAGCCCCAGAACGTGGATCCCAGGGCAGGCAGCATGGCAATTATGCCAAAATTTGTGGCAAAGTTCTCGACGCCCCAGATGATGGCGACGATGAGCGGCGTCAGGCTAAAGACGGCGCCATAGCCTGCTCCGACAAGCCCCGAGACGACCCAGAAGCGCTCGGCATGGTTCTGGACGGCGCCCGAGGCGAGAAAGACGAGGCCCATGGACATGGTGGCAGCAAAGAAGAGCATGAAGACAACCCGCGAGACGGTGATGCGCCCCAGCGACGAAGGCTGGTAGTGGCCGCGATGGGGGCCAACCTGGACGTGCTGGGTCTCGGGTGCCGGGGCGACGAGATCGGTGAGAGTGCCGATGAGCAGGCGAGCAATGGTGCTGGTGACGCCGAAGATGGAGACGTGGGTGGCCACCGAGGTGGGCTGTGTCGAGAAACCCGTGGGCGGAGGCGTCAGCGTGCCGATGACAGTGCCGAGATTATTGACAAATGCCTCGCCCGGCCCAATCATGAGCAAAAAAGCCAGGGCAAAGGGCCACATGGTGTGGTCGGTGAGGAACCGGCGCGTCTCGGCGTTGAGAACCCAGTTCTTTTTCCACCTGGCGTCGTCGTCCTTGGACGGGTGAAGCAGCGCGTCGCTCTCAAGATCGGCGGTCGAACCAGCCGAGCCATAGCCCCTGTCTGCGCGACCGAGAAGGGCGCTCCCGTCGAGCAAGCCGCTCTGTTCGAGCTCGTCGATGGCTTCTTCGATGAGGTCCTGCTCGTCGACGACACGCAGGGTAAAGGTGGCGACGAGGCCGACGACGAAGAGCAGGATGGCGAGGAAGACGAAGAAGCGGAAGACATCGACGTCGCCTTTGGAGCCGTCGGGCCGGGTCTCGTGGAGGAAGCGGCTGCCGACCTGGCTGAGCCACATGCCGCTGAGGCCGAAGCCGGTGACGGGCATGGCGAGGGCAAGGCCGCGGTACTTGCCCTTGCCAAAGTTCTTTGCGCACGTCGAGACCGATGCAATGTACATGGCGCAGGTGGCGGAGCCGACGCAGACAAAGGCGAAGACCATGAGCGGGTAGGACCAGTCGTCGGCCTTACCATGAGGCTTGCCACGGACATTGTACTCGAAGTCGAGCTTGCGGTAGATGGCGGCGGCGAGGCCGTAGCCGATGGCGAAGAGGATGGAGGAGAGGAGGGTGAGCGGGGCGACGCCGCTGCGGTCGCAGACGTAGCCCATGGCGGAGATGGGCAGGTAGAGGGCCAGAGAGCCGCCGATGGCGACGCCGTTGACCTGGAACTGGGTGTAGTGGAGGCGGGACTGGAACTGGGGGGCGTAGAGCGAGAAGACGACGATGGAGCCGGCGCAGAGGGCGGCGATGGTGGCGGAAACGAGGGAGATGGTTCTGGTGGCGCCTTTGCCGCGGGACTGGTGCTCGAGGTCGGAGTCGTCATCGAGATCAGACAGGCTCATGGCGGGCGACGCTGGGCCCAAGGGCCGATGGTCGGCGGCGGGAGTCTGAGGCATCGTGGCTGCGATGGACTGGCTGGGGAGGAGGAGAAGCGGTCGTCAAGGCGTCGACATGTTCATATGAAGCTGCGCAAAGGCAGGGAGCTGGTGGCGGGACCAGACGAGGCAGATGGCGGAACCGAACAATGGAGGAGGGATGGGAGTTGAAACACGGCACAAGCACGCAAGCATCCTTGGGTTGGTAGGGACAGTGGGCGGCACACTGTATGGGCCAGTTACTGGCGTAAACTGCCGTTCGCTGCAGGAATGGATGTGCAGGGGCGCTAACCGTCCCGGTCTGCTCACGGCTAGTACAGTGCTGCCCGCACGGTGCTCTTCTCGCTGTCCGGTCAAGCACCGACCATCGTCTCGCCATCACGAGTCTTTCTCCTGACTTTGGTCTGCATGTGAGACTACAAAAGTATTCTCTACATTACCACGATTCGCCAGTTCGATCCTCTCGACCTGCAACAGCATCTTTCCACTCGACCACCCCACCTTGAGAATCCTCTCGGCCCGGGTCACCAGAGGACGCGAATCAAAGCGCAGTGCCGAGACAACGGCCACGTGCTCGCATCCTCCGTCGGTTCTGCCTCGCCGTTGGGCAGCAACGCAAAAGCACGCCTTTGCACGTGTGACCATGTGCGGGGGCGCCCTATCACGACGATGCCCGGCTTACTGGAACCTCCAATCACCCCGAAAGGCGACCGCGAAACACGACACTCCTCTCCCTCGCCATGGATGGATTCCACACCAAGTCGGCGACGGCAGCCCGGCCGCTTCGCATGTCGCCAACCACAAGTAGCTCCGCCGCCTGTCCCTCGCCCACGGTAGCCGACGCTGCCCCCAGACCCATGGCGGCCCGAGCCCGCGACGACACACACTCGAAGAGCAGCTCGGCGTCGTCTTGGCTTCCGGCTTGATACAGACCCACGCAGAGCGAGGCGAGCGCCAGCGGATCACAGCTGCCCCAGGGTGTGAAGGCGTTGCCCACGTTGTTGATGCCCACCACTGCGTCCAGCCCGTGGTCCCGGATCATGCGGCATATCGGCAGTGTTCCTCGCGGCTGGTCCGCCTTATCCCTGTCGGGGGCTGAAGCCATGTATATGTCGCTCGTGGGCAGACCGACAAACGTGACGGGGAGCTGGGCGTCCGTCACCTGCCTCGCCAGCCGTTGCCATTCGGCGTGTGAAAAGAGGCTGAGGTGAGTGGCGTGGCCAATCATGACTCTCTTGCTTGTCCTTGAGGGCCACGAGCTCTGCTTGAGTGTTTCGACGACATGCCATATCAAGGGCTCCTTTCCGGCATCCAGGTCATAGTCGAGATGGAAGTCGACGTGCTTGCCACTCTGCAATGCCGTCTGGACAGCCCACTCAATGTTTTGCCTCGACGCATCGTGATGACTCTCCACGTAAGGCGTTGTTCCCACCACGTCAACCTCTGCGCGCTGTATTGCTCCCTCCATTAAGCTCCTATTCTCGTCACCCTGCGGTCCCGAGAAGATTGGATCTTGCGCAAAGCAAACAATCTGGACGTGGCACCTCTCCCTCCACTCCTCCTTGAGCTGAACGGCGGCCTCGAGGCAAAGGTGGTGGACCGTGGCGTCTACTTCGACGAATGCGCGGATGGCCGTCACGCCATAATTGACAGACTCGTCAAGCAGCATCCGTCCGCGCTTCAGCAGGTCCGGCAGCGAGAACCTCGACTTGGCCTGCGCTGTGTTGGACAGCGCCTCCGCAAAGGTGCCGGCGCACGGGAGGAGATCTGCGTAATCGGGCGACAGGTGGATGAAGGCCTTGTCCAGATGGACGTGCGGGTGAGCGAGAGCAGGGAAGACGGCAGTACATTGCGCGGAATCCAGCGATGATGCTACATGGGGAGCAATGGACATGATCCGGGGCGGAGACGACGCCGAGAAGCTTATATCCCACAGCGAGTCGGCGGGCCGATTCGGGAGCCTGGCCCCGGTGATGCTCGCCATGGGTTCGACAGCTGCTGGAGATGGGTGTCTATTCGATGCTTGGAGTGAAGGTGATGACTGAATGTGTGGAAAGGTATCTGCAAGGTAGCCGAGGATGATGAATGGCGAGAAGCGTCATCGGTACGATAGCCGAGGATGATTAAGGTCGAGAACGCACTCGGCCCCCCCCCCCCGCACCGGCCGTGGAGTCTCGAGGTATGATCCAAATGCTACTCTTATGGGCATCTCGTTATAAAGACTAATTGCCGAGGTGAGGGCGTCACAGGTGACAGCAGTAGATGATGGAGTAAGGCATTGTACACAGAAGCAAGGATTCATCATGGTAGAAGCAGAACGTAACAGTAGCAACCGCTCGTCTCATCAAGCTGGCAGACACAGGATCCCCTCCCATCTCGTTGCCTAAAACCGCAAGAACGGGAGCCTGCAGAGCCAGATTAGCACCGACGGGCCGGCCTTGGGTCGTGTGCACTCACCATTTCCCCCGCAGCGTGATGACGGCCCACTCGTTACCCTGGGCATCCGTCTCCTTGTCCACCTTTGTCGAAAACGACACGCCGCTCATGATGCCGTCGCCAAACTTCTCGTTGAGCACCGCTTTATAGGCGTAGCCGTAGTTTTGCACAATCTCGTACAGCCGGTAGATGAGCGGGTCTTTGGGCGGCATGTCGACGGAGCGGCCCCGGTCCGGGAAGCCGCCCAGCGACGCCGCGAGCTCGGCCTCGGGCACCCGCAGTAGGCTGGCCAGCTTCTGCACGTCGGCGTCCGAGGCCTTGGCCTGCCCGTAGAAGAGGGCGGCGGTGGCCACCTCGCTCCGTCCAATGTGCTGCGCAATCTGCTCGAAGCTGAGGCCGCGCAACTGCTTTGCCCCGAAGAGCACCTGAGAGCTCTGGGGGAGCTGCGGGTGCTGGTTCGCCTGTGTCACCTGTCAGTTGTCGTGTCGACTCCGTCATGAGCGACCAGGTCGACAAACATGGAGAGTGACGAGAGACATGGCTGAGCTGTTCTTGCGTGCGACGTGATGAAGCGGGTAAGGATGGAGGACGCGAATATCCTGCGCTGGAGCTGGACCCTCGCTGCCTTTAAGTACTCGAGTTTGTTCTACTCGGCTCCGCTTGACCCGGACCTCGCAAGTCCAGGACGGCTCAATGTCAAGGTGGACAGAGTCGCAGTTGCATCATAATTACGTATTTGCCTGTTGAAAACACACCACCAACTTATCGTATAAAATACGTATAAAAGGCCTGATTAGAATGCCGTACACGTAAGATATTATGCACGTATTGACCGCGACAAACCTTGTTGTGGGAATCCACCTTCTTGCTTCTTGTCCTCAACTTCTGCAACAGCCCCCGTCACGCATCTCGTCCGTGGGCAAGGATAACCGTACTGGGCCTCGTCTTAAAACGGACTGCCGTGTTCCATGTGTCGAATCTGCCCCATTTGGCGCGTTTTGTGTCGTGAAGGGCACAATTTACGAGATCAGACGGCCGATATCTGGCCGCTGATCGCTAAAGAGACAGGAAGGGGAGCCGGAAAAGCCGATCAAGACAGCCACAAACGTCTCAATCCGAATTGAAGATTTTGCAGTAAACTAGACGTTGAAATCTCAGCTGGAATACAAAGTCCGAGACCATTCCCCAACCCTTCACTGGGACCAGCGACTAATATCTCTGTCCTCGCCATCCTCGAGCTGGATCCGCTTGTGGCACCCAAGACTAAATGCCTCTCCTGAACTCCCAGCCGTCCCTGTCTGCGTCTCTTCAGCTTCAAGCTGGCCTAACACTGCGGGCATCTGGCAGCATTTCTTCACTAGGACGCCCTTCTCTGTGGCCAACACCAGACAGTCTTGGTTGCCAAACGCCAAAAACCCTGCTCTGCTCCGAGGTCGACAGAATTCTTGTCCTCGATCCGATGCTGGATCAGGTCAGCGTACGGCGCGTCTTTGGGGTATCCTGCCCGGTCTCATTCGACCTCGAACCATTCAAACGTATGTTCTCACCAATCCGCCGCAAAGATGAGATGAGATGATCATGCCATGCCATGCCACTGCGGTAACGACTCATGGTTCGACCCGGCCAGGCTCTGGTTCCTCCGAATGGACGTGAAGACGCTGAACAAAGGTTTCGGTCAAAACATCGAATCCAAGCCCGGTTAACCAGCTGTTCGCCCCAGTACTCTTGGTCGCCTTGATTCTTGTTGACATTGACAGCGCCGACCCAATGGAGATCGTGAGTGTTGATCCTCTGGCAAAAGGATACGATGCATTCCCATTGACAATTCCAAGTCGACGGAATCAGGTCGGACAGGCGTTTCGTGCATCGAACGACAAGCCTTTCGCCTCTGTCTCTGAGAATCTCGATTCCGTGAACCGCCACGTCGTAAAATGCAGAGCCACTACTGTCAGAACCATGGAGCCCGTTATCTCTCCTAGAAATTTGTCAATCATGTAACTGGCGTTCCTATCTGACGAGAAAAAGTGGCTTGATGCCCAGAGCGCACGAGGATGAGCTGAAAAATGAAGCAAAGGTTCACATACGGGGGTTTGTAAGTCCGCACGACAAACAAATCGTCTTGTCGGAAAGGAAACCATATAACACCCAGCGGAGCGACGCTCATGGCTGATGGCCATACTTCTGGCATACTGGAGTTACTCTTGACGTCAATTTCGATTGCTTTCCCTACTCAGCTCCAGGAAATCACATGGCCCTGGTGAGCAACAAAGGCGGCCATCTCGTCCTGGACGAAACAGGACGAGACCTCCCCAGGAAAGGGACACACTTTTCCATTTTGAGTCCCAGGTGCCAGACCAGGTTTTCGCATAGGTCAGCCTCATGAGCGTTCGGCACGCAGCCTGTGTTTGGCCTCGGCGGTTTGGGCCCCGTGTTCGATAGGGAGGGTAATAATTAGTGGCTTACACAAACTTGAATTCCCCGATTCGCAAGCCCGGGTTCAGTCGAGCGGAATATCAACAAATCCCTTGTAACTACTTCAAGCCCTGTCCGTTGTCCCAACGTGATTGGAGGCAGGTCCAGAGGGCAAATTTGCCGCGTGCAAGTGCACAAATAGTCAACGATGAGGCAAGATGAAGGCGCCCGCCATACTAATTTGCCGTCTCCATAGATGGCATGAAGCGGCGTGCAGTCGTAGATAGCCACAAAACTATCGCTAAGTGGCACCTGGTGTGGCAGAGTATTCTTCCTCGGAACGCTCCTCCTCCATGCCAAGGTCGACCTTTTTGTGGCATCCCAAGCGATAAAAAGCCTTTCGAGTGGGCGATGCCCAGTGTCTCCGCAGAAAGCGTCGAGCTGCTTGCAAGAATAGCTCTCGAGCCGCAGTCTGGGGTTCAGACGCGGGAGCCTCCACCAGGCCGAGAAAAAACTGGCGGCAGAGGCTCGAGGAGACGCACGCGGCGTCCCAGGCTTGGTTCCAGCGCCGTTAGCCAAGGCGGCAGCTGAACACTTCGTCAATGCGCAGGGTCTCACCGATGAGGCAGACCACCTCGGGGGGAAGTCAGGCAAGCAAGCGAGGCCGGTCGAAGCTAGCTTCGTAGATACAATGCCTCCTATGAAGACAAGGAGGCAAGCAAGCTGTCGATGATTGCCTCTCTGGTTGCGACAGAACCGGTGCGAGGCTCCATTCCTGACCGACGAGGTGGTGAATCGACGTGATTCCTGTTATAAGCCTTGTGGATGATGGGTGAAGTCGTGGTCGCGATCAAAGTCGGCAAGAACGCTGAATCGCTAAGGGCTGCGCTTGGCGATGAGTTTTGGAGTTGAAAGTGACGATATGATGCACACAAGCAGAGGGACAAAGAAAGACAGAGGTGGAGAGGAGAAGAGAAAAATGGGGAGAGCGAAGACTTCTCAAGAGTTTTGCAGGTTCGGTTTCAACACTCGTTGCCATGTGGTGAGCGGTCATGAGACCTTGCCACGGCTGCTGCGGCATCGAAGACTTTAACCGCCAAAACGGACGCCGTGGCCCTCAAGCTGCGAGCGAAATCCTTGATTCAATCACTCCATGTCCTGCGCTGCCTCGCCGCCCCTAAGAGCCAGCGCAGCCTCCATGTCGGCCCACCATTGCTTGATGCCGGCGACATCGCACCAAGTCAGCTCCCAGGGATCCTCGAACCACCAGCGCACGCCTCCACGCCCGTCGCTCGCGTATTTTTTGAGGCTCCCGCCGTCGAAGCGGTGGTTCTTAACGCCCGTCAGCAGCACGGCGCTGCCCACGGCGGGTGCAAACTCGTCCGGGTCGAGGAAGACGGTCAGGTGGACCTGCTTGGTCGTCGACGGATCCACGATGCGCGCCGACCGCTGTTTGTACGGCGGCAGATGCGACGGCTCGACGGGAGACAGCGTGGCCACGACGACGAGCACGTTGCACGACCAGTTCTGCGCGTAGGGGAGGTGTGGGATGGAGCGGAGCGTCGTGAGCTTGAGCGGTGTCTGCGGGTCGTGCCAGTCCCGGGGGAGGGCGATGGGCAGCGTGGGCTTCTGCGCAGCAGGCCTGTGGGTTTGGACAGGACGAGATTTTGCAGGCTGCGGTGGCACTTTCTTGACGGGAAATGTGAGGGCCTCGAAGGTATCGAAGGCGTCTGCCAGGTCGGCATCCTCGGTCTCGTCGGCTTCTACGTCGCCCTGGCGAGGCTTCATCAACTTTACCAGCTTTGTCTCTCCAGGTGTTCCCGTATCCTCGCGCTCCGCATCTCCCGTGGGCTCACTGCCGTCTGGCGAGACGGCCTTTGAGGGGGCCTCGCTCCGATACAAGGCGGCAACCGTCTTGTTCCACCCAGTCGTTACCAGGTCTCGGAGCACGAGATAGGCCATGTTGCGTCCGTCTCGCCCCGCGTCAGACACGAGCTCGCCCGCCGCATTGCGCCATCGGAGCTCAAACTGCTGGACGCGCACGTAGCAGCCGACGGCCACTTCTCCCGTCTGCACGAAGCGGTGCAGCGCGCCGTCCAACAGCGCCTGGACGCAGAGCTCGCCGTCGCCGAGCAGGATGCGAATGGCCTGCCATCGACCTGTTTTTGTCACAGGGACGGCATCGATGCCCTCGACCAGAAAGACGGAGCCCGGGACGCAGAAGCGCGTCCTCACCATGTCCTCGATGACCGGGGTCAGCGCAAAGGGCTCGATGCCGGGGACGAATGTGATGGCGGTAGGTTCGAGGCCCGCCATCTCGACAAGCGTGCGCGATGCACCATGCTGCGCCTAATAACCGCGGGTGGATTGGGAGACTCGACCAGGTGCGGAGTGCAAGTGAGAGCAGACGCCAGTTGCACCCAGGTCCTGAGCTTGGACGAGGGCCCAAGGCAGGTATGCAGTTATAGGCCAGTGTTAACTAACCAGCAAGCAAGTTTGGCTAACCAGCAAACAAACCAAGTGGGGAAGTGTGGCTAGTCAAGGCGCAGCGCCAATATCGCACAATGCCTTGAGGAACGTAGTGACGAAAGGTTCTATAAAGGTTCTATAGACAACCAGGGCTATAACGATATTTTTTTATAAAGCGTTTTTATCGTAATAGCGAGAGAATCGTTATATCTAATTAATTACCTTCCTAGCTAAATTAGTATATAAAGATACTTATAGGCACTTTAATAATAGCTATAGTATATACCTAAAGATATAATAGTAGTAGTAGTAGTAGCTAGACACTAAAGGACGAGGGGGTCTAGGGAAGATAAAGGAAAAGAGAAAGCACTAAGTAGGGCAAGATAAAGGTAAAGAGTATTATAGAGTAGGTAGAGGCGTAGGCTTAGGCGCGGTCTATAGGAAGAAGGTTAATAATCTATATAGGGAAAAATAAAGAGAAGTATAAGCTTAGCCTATATAAGTATAGAGGCCGCTTATATATAGGCTTAGACTAGACTTTAGTCTAGGCTTATATAAGTTAAAGCCTTTATATTATACCCCTACCTAGCTTTAAAGAGGCGTAACTTTAAATAATACTTAATACTATACTTAAAGGGATAGAACCCTTACGCGGACTATATATACTTAGTCGCGGAAAAAGATATTAGTAAATAATATATAATACCCTCCTAAGTAAGCTTCTTAAATAAACTATATTATTAGTAAGGGTTATACTTTAAGAGCTAGACCTAAGAACTTATAGTTAAAGAGTAAAGGTATATAAAATAGTATATAGCTAGCTTTAATAAGCCTAGAGTATCCCGCCCCCTTTATAGTAATATATAGTAATAGCTCTTAATACTATAATATAAAGGATAGAATATAAATATATATAGCTTTACCTTTTTTTATATAAGGCTATATAAATACTCTTATTTACTATAGTTATATTATATTAATAGCTTTATTATATCTTAGCTACTCTTTTACTTACTATAAGTATATACTTTACTTATATAATAGCTACTTTAACGGGTAAGATCGTACCCCTATAGATATTAGCCCGTTAAAGGGATAAGACCCCTAGCACCCCCCCCCCTTCTTACCTACTTCGAAGTATACTTAAAGGCTTTATAAAGACCTTAATTATCTAATCGGGCATCTTCCTTAATTAGAGTTAATTTAAATTTTTGTTTTTCCCCTTTAAAGTAGAGGCCGCTAGTTGCGCGACTCTAGTAGAGACAAAGAGGCATAGAGTAAAGAAATCTCTAAGACTTATATCTATAACCTAAGGCCCTTAGAGCTATATATAGGACCGATAATTAGATAATTACGTAGTTAATTGCTCTGCTAATCCTTAGCTACGTGCTACGCGTGCTTTAGGTATATGCCCTCGTCCCCGTTAAAACTAGTCTCTAGGGCGTAAACTCGTTATTCCGTTCTATTTATATAGCGATAAGTAGCTTTATAAAGCTAAGAATACCTAGAGGACGATAGTACTATTTAGAAAAAATAAAATCTAGGGATTTAATAATTAAAGTAGTAACTACCTTAATAGCTAGAGTTAGGGACCTAATAAGGCGATAGACTTACCGGGAAATAAATAATTAGATAATACCTTCGCTAGTAGTAAAAGAAAAGCAATAAGCTAATACTAAAAAGCCCCGAGCTCCTATTATCGGCCCTACGACCCCTAATACTAGCGACTCGGTTAAGAAACTACGATACTTATATAATGCTTTAAAAGATATAAATAACGACGATAGCGTAATCTAGACTATTCTAGAACCCTACTAAGACCTCTTATTTATATACGCACTAATAATGCTAATATAGGTACTAACGAGGGACACCCTAATAACTTTAACCTTAGCTCTCCTTTACGCGGTAGCTTATAGAGAACGCTTACCTCCCGCTAATAGATAAGAAAGTAAGTAATAAGATAGTTATAATAAGATATCCTTTAACTCTAAAAACTCTAACTCTAAATTTTATAACCTCGTAATCTATAGGCATACTATGTCTAGAAACGCTAGCCGTTAAGAGGGATTATCTAATCTTACTACTAGCGATATAAAGAAAATTAAGGTAGATATTAATAAGATTACTAATAGACTTAAAGATATACTTACTAAAAGCTAAGATAACCTTATAGGAAGACTCCACTAACTATAACTCCTACCTATTAGTAAATTTAACGGTAAAAACGTAACTAAATTCCTTAAGAAGTTCGAATAAGAGATACGCGTTAACCGTATCTACGATAAGGATAAAATAAACTAGCTTAAAGTCTATATCTCCTCTATATAAGCCCCTACTATTAAAATTCTTATAGACGGACTTACCTAGGAAGAAGTAAAGAAGAGACTCCTTTAATACTACTATATATATAATATTAAATAACTAGAAACTACTAACGACCGCTTAGACTATTATAATACTAAAAAGCCTAAGACTATTATAGAAGTTATAAAATAGCTTAGTCTCTACTTATACCTATAGCGTAAGGCATAACCTAATAGCTAGGAAGAATCTATAGTCTAGTTATACTTTATCTACTATATAATACCGAAGGAGCTTATTATTAACGTTATAAAGAGAAATAGGAAGATATTTAAAGTTATCTTAAAACTCCTATATAAAAGCCTTGTCTATATAATTAATAACTACTTAGCACCTCGCTAGGACGTTAAGCGACGAGATATAGTATCTAAAGTCTATAATTAAAAGCTTAAGAACCTAAAGAAAGACTAGCTCTTTAGGGAAATTAATAAAGTAATAAAGGAAGCTAAATCCGACGAGGGCGAAGAAAAACTTCCTAAAGAGTTAAAGAAAATAGATAAGAAACCTAGATAGCCCGTAAAGGAGATCTTAGACTTAATAAAAGCCTTTAAAGATATAAAGATTAACCTTACTCGCTAGTAAGAGTAGATATTTAACTAGCTTAATAGGGAATAGAAACGCGTTAGTAGTAGAGGCTACTCTTTAAGTTATAGATAAGGAGGTAGCATAAATACTATCGGATTTTACTACCTATCTAATTAATATATATAGTTTTAGGTTAATACTTTTAACCGGCCTAGGAGATACTTCTATTACGGTAAAGAAAGATACTACCCTAATAAGTATAAGGTATACTCTTAGGACTATAAGATCGGATTTATAATATACGAAGTAGTAAATAGGACTCTTTACCTTAGAAGAAAAGATAATAAAAGCGTAATTCCCTTAGTACTTACTAATAAGTTTTCTTAAATAAGTATATATATTTAAAGGCTTATTATATACTAGGTAGATATATAGCTAGACTCCTTTATATTACTACTTATAAAATAGGTTAAAGCTATAGTTATATTATCTTACCTAAATTAGGCTACTAGTAAAAGAGAATCTAGTTTCCTAGACTAGTTCTAAAGATATAGAAGCCTATATAAGTAGAAGCTAAGGAATCTAGAAGTAAGCGATATAAGAAAAGAAGTAGGAAGGATATTAGTTATTATAATTACGGATAATATATAATAAAGCGATATATATAATTAAATAATCTATATAACTACGATAGGGATTAATACTTATAAGGGGAAAAGATAAAGAGTTAAAGAGGATATAGAGGAAATCGAGATAACGAGAATAGTAAAAACTAGCTTAAAGATTATCCCTATATACTATAAATATAGAGTAGATCTAGATAAAAAGTTCGATAGACTTACGGATAAAATCGTCGGAGAAATTATATATAAAAGAATCCCGATCCCTTTAAATTACTTAATCGACTTTATTCCTTAACTAGGCGAGAGACTTAGTATAAGATACATAGATATAGCCTAAGGTATAGAAAACACTAAATTCTAGACCCTAGAGAAAGTAGAGAGTAATATAAGACCCTATAGAGCTACGATAACGGTTATAAAAGCAGCTAAAGATAATATAGAGAGTAGTTTACTCCTCCTTAAATATCTATAAGGAAAACTCGCGGTAGCTTTAGTATAAGTTAAAGAATAAAACGAAGAATACTAGGTCGAACCGATTAAGCTTACTTACCCTACTTATAAAGAATCAGATTATAAGTGCCTTAAAGTCTAATAAGCACTAAAGGAAGTTAGGTTTATAACTAATACGATTAGTATAACGTAACTAGCTTAAGGACTATTTAATTAATAAACTCTAGAGGTAATATGACTAAAAAAAGACGAATTTATTATATAGGAAGTAGTACTCTCGATAAGATACTAAGAGATAACTCTAAAGGACCTTATAGCGATTCCTATAATACGTATAAATACGGTCCTTATACCTTTCCGCTCGCTTAAGTATATATAAGACCTACCCTATATTTAAGTATAGCTTAGTAGCTAGAAAGCTAAAGTTCTAAGCGCCTTAATTAATACTAGGTCTAAAGGAAACCTTATTACTAAAAGATATATAAACGTATATAGGCTTAAAATCCTACTAATAAGAGTATTAATAATAGCGTATACCGGGTCCCCTATAGATATAGTTAGGGAGGTAGAGACTAATCTCTATCTAGGCACGGCTTAGATACTAATCTATCTTTATATTACGCTAAACGGAGTCTTAGTCCCCTTTATCCTAGGTATACTATTTATTAAAGCCGCGTATATATTATTTAATTATTCCCTAAGGAACGGCGATATATAGGTTAAATATTAGATCGGTACTATCTAGGTAGTTACGCTAGCGGTAGGAGCTATTAAATAGGAGCTTCCGGACGAGGTCGATATAGTAAAATCCTTTTAGACTACGACCTTAATAGTTAATAAAGATATATACGAAAGACTAAAGCTCGAGGAGACTATATAGGAAAT